CAGTACTGGTGTAGCCATGCCACAATGTTGCCGCTGCGTCAGCCGTACCCAGGGTAAGTCGTCGCTGCTATCGTTACGGCTCCAGCTGAATTCTCGCAGAGTCGCTCTGGTGTTCGTTCTGGTTATGCATGCAGTGGTTGCAAACTTCAAAACGGTTGCGCATGAGTAATGAATAGCCCGAAGTGAGGCTCTGCAGGCATCGTCATCGAGGTGGTAGCTCTAGAGTCTAGAGGCGTAGCTAGAAGTGCACTGACAAGGAACACGAGGATACCAAAAGGCCTGTTCAGCGATGGTTACTAGAACAGTGCAGCTAGCTCCAGTCCACATTAGTCTTATTTCATATCTTCCGAGAAAGATGCTTCTGCAAGAGCAACCGCCGCTGCTCCGACCAACGCAGCTGCTGCCCCCTGATCCAAGTGACTCGGCCCGTGTATCGCAAAGAAGGCCATACAAGCCGAACGGCCCCACATGTGACAAGACAAAGGCAGCAGAGACAGGTGGAAAACTGCGACAGTTCCAAGACATCCAGGATGCACGAGACTGGGCAGGGTTGGAACCCGAAGCATGGGACGCTGTTTGCGAGCAATGTGGTGGTTTTGCAGACCTCTGGCAGGTTGCACAAATCGCACCAGAACAGCTTCGAAAGGCGATTATCTCCGCACGCATTGCGCGTTTGGACCAGCATGGCCGCCCAGCGGCCGTGGCAGCACTGCATGGCGTGGCACCTCTTCCCTCGTCGCGCGCGCTCTGTCCGGCAGAGGCTGCCCAAGTGGGGCTGATCTGGAGGGTGGCGCGGGCTGTGGCCGGTCATAGCATTGGCCCATCACTGGAGGATGACAGCCTGCCTGTAGAGCCGCACCCACGAATTCAAATCGAGAATGCGGAGTGGTACGAGGTCGCCTATGACAAGGTCTTCATCAAGAAAGCACCCCAGCAAGATGCTCGTTCCTGGGGCTGGGTCCACCGTGGGCAAAAGATCCAGGTGTCCCCCAGTGCAGTGTCGGATATGAATGGCCGCGCCTGGGTGGAGCTCACCTTCATGCAGCGGCTGGGCTTCGAGTTGAGTTGCTTCTCTCGTGTCATTCTTCGCAGGGCAATTAGGAGTTTCATGCTGATCATGTCGTAGCAACATCCAATTGAAGAGGGAAGCAAGCAGCAAGCTAGCAATCATACTGAACATGCCTGTTGTCATAGCATCCTTTACATTTGTTTATCTAGATACATATGCTAATGATTTCTGCATGAGTCCATCGATATTTATATGCATATGGATATATATATATATATACATACATATATATATATACATATATATATATACATAAAGGGAGGGAGGGAGGGAGGGAGGGAGGGAGAGAGAGAGAGAGAGAGAGAGAGAGAGGGAGAGACCTAGCAATGGAGCAAGGTTGGCCCGATCCTGTCCCGAGCGACTCTCCAGCGACGACCCCTTGGGTCGAGGTTTCGCTTTGATCCTGGGACTTGGTGGCTTCGGGGCTCGTAGCTTTTGGGATACCCATTCCTACCGTATAACTCAGGGAGCCCCAGCTCGAGCAAAGGGCATGTCGGGTGTTGGAAATGTGGTAGGGTGTGAGAGCAGCTTGGAGGATTGATTTGCTATTCGCATGCATTGTGCCGTGAAAGGGGTGAGAGGTTGTGCAGGCACAGGATTATTTTCGTAAGGTGGTTGCAGTCCTACTCCAAGGTTGCCGTTGTCTTGTTTTTTTCATGTTCAGTCTTGGCATTGCCACGAAGCTGGGGCCACAGCACCAGAGAGTTCCGCCCCACGACAGCGGGGACCTTGACGCGAAGCACTAGTTTGCAGTAAGTATGCGAGTGAAGTACATAATCCCCAATCTGCTTGATTCCTGCACGCGTTAACCCTTTGCCCAGCAAAGTGCGAGCCCAAATAGGATCCACCGATGTGAACCCTAGGATTGACGGTCAACATCTGGGTCTCGGGCGTTTGCTGTCTGGTCCATTGCCTAGCAAGGCAGGCCTGTTGGGCTTGGGCTTATACTCGAAAGTCTTTTGGCGAGGTTGGAAGCATGCATTAAGTTGGGTACCGTATCGCGCCCTTGCGGATGTTGTCGTCCGTCGACCGATGTAGGCGATGGGATTGTCTGTGTTGGCCTCGCTCGCAGCGGTAGGGAGCACTTGTGAATTTTTGCCAGCTACACAAAACCAGAGCCTCCTGCAGGAGTGGCCATCGGGGCTCGAGGATGCTCAGAGCACCATGGAGGATGGATAACAGGGTGGTTGGTCGAGGATCGGGTACTTCCTTTTAGATGATGGCCATTTGCCTGATTGGCTGGACAGGCTCTCCTGCCCAGTCTTCCTCTCAGATAGTCCCTGAAAGTTTTTCTGTGCGCGGTTAAAGGGACCTCATGGGGAGCTAGGAATAAGTGCAAGAGTCATTTGGGACAGACAGATTCACACTCTACACTCGCTCCATGCTTGTGCTTGTCGTTCCATACATCTTGGTATACACATACGCACACATGCATACACACGCAGGCATATTATATATGTATGCATAGCTAACTGTCAATACAATCCATCCGAAAGGCATGCATGCGTTCATGCTCATGCATGGCATGCGCATATGCAGTGTACACATACGCACCCACAGACGGATGCACCTGAGTCTTTTGGTTCAAACCAAAGTATGTGTGTGGACAGGCAAGCAAGCAGGCATGCAGGCAGGCAGGCATGCAGGATAGGCAGGAACGCATGCACGCATGTATGTGTGCACGAGTACCAGCTTGCGTGATTGTAAGGCTGTATCACTGTACGATCGTATTTAATTACATAGACCCACCACAGGACACAGATAAACCATCGGTAGGTATGTGTGGGCTCGTTGTCAGACTGTGAAAGGAGCGGGTGGTCTTGCGCCGCCTGAGTGGGGAGCGGCTACACTTCCAGGCATCGGCGCACCGCCATCGGCTTGCGGTTTGTAGAACCTTACAATTTTGGGCTCAGGGTGATGAGGGTCCTTATAATATGAGTAAGAGAAACAGAGCCGAGTCTTGTAACTGTACAACATGACTCATCGGTGTGCGTACTTACAGCTGGGCCTCACAAGCAAACGCTGACAGAGGCCTTGGTGTGTTGTGCTCCAGCCAGCAGCTTGAGAAGCGGGCAGTACCTATCTACAACGCCAAGCCCACACCTTAAACTGGCTGCACGCACAGTGTGCTAGAAAGATGTAGCATCAGGCAGGCAAGAGCAGCTATTCAATAGCCTGCAGTGGGTAACTCTCCTCACAATGCCGCTTTAAATCATGCTTCTACCTTACCTTTACGAAAAAAGCAGATACAGCCAAGCCCAAACGCGGAAATGATGCCTGAATCCTTGCCTGCTTCGAGCGAGTGTGAGTCGCCTTTCAGTTGAAGCCCGGCGACTTTGTGGCTTCGCTCTGCTTCCGCGCGGCCGAAGCCATTCGGGTGCAGAATCGCGTGGATGTGGCTCAAGCGGGCGATGTTGGACCTCCCCACCCACACACACACAATGAGGGCTGCAATCTTATTGTTATGGCTTGATGCGGGCTTCTTCCCAATCATAGTCTAGTGACTCTGGTGTTTGCCTGCCTCGTGCTTGATTGTGGACATTCCAACCCGAGGCCTTGCAAGCACCTGCAGCGCGCATTCGCCTCATCTTGGATGGAGACGTGCTGCAGCTTGGCTTGCACTTGACTTGAGTGTTCCCGCAGCTGCGATCCGCCATTGCTGTTGGTTCTGCTATTCTCGAGGAGCCAGGATTCGCTGGCCGCCCCACTGGCTGGGAAGGAGGTGGACGTAGTGGTGATCCCACCTTCACCCCGAGCCGTCACAGGTCGGGCCTGGGCCTGTCCAGCTTGGGGAGATGTTGGGAAATCACAGGCAAACCGCTTTTTCAGGCTGTGAAGATGGCTCCGTGAAGTTCTGGGACCTCCAGACCAAAACCTGCTTGGCTTCCCTCACCGGACATCGTGGCGCGGCCTCCCGGCACCGATCTGCTCTGACAAGCTCCTGCTTCCTGCTTCGATTCGATCCCATGGGTTGGAAGAGTCCTTTCGATCTGGCCTGCGAGTTTAGATTTTGCTATGGCTCTCAACTAGGCTGGTTGGACGTTCGGGGCTCCTCCAAGTCGTGCTGGCTGCTGTGGGAACGCGTACAGACATGCCAAGCGACGTGCAGCCCAGGTTTGGTCTGTGGATGCAGACATCACTTCCAAGTGCCTCGGCCAGAGCGACTGATGCATTGGCCTAACATGCAGTCCGGTGATGGGACCGGCAGCCATCAGCTTCATCGCACTTATCACCACTGCTGCTACGCCTGCAGTTACGGAAGGTTGGCCTTGTCCGGTTCGGCAGACGGTTCGCTGATGCTCTGGGACCTCGAACGCGAGGCAGGAGCTTTTCCTCCGCATGGTAGAGGCCTTGCCAGAGTGCTTGGTGGCAGGGTGTAGATTAGAGTTTTCACTGGTCAGCGTCATGTGACCATGATAGCTCCCGAGCAAGATCCCACCCACAATCATAGTTTTCACCAGCTTGCCTGTGCTGCGCAGTACCACATGCACCTACTAACTCAGATCCCGCAAAGCGATAGATCCGACAGATGCCAAAGCCAGGAGTGCTTGCGCAGCTTTGAAGGCACGGTTTATGCTGTGCGTTCTGCACGATCACCCCGGAACAGAAGACATTGAGTCTTGAGCGACACTCGGTTTACGGGCATCACGTTCCAAGAGGGAAGTGGATGAAGCTCTCAGTTGAACAGGAGCTCGGAGAGCTGGGGCGACCAGTGAGGCTGTTCTGACTTTGGAGCCATCTAAACCTCAAGGTTTCGCACACGACTTTATCCGATATCCTTTGCACTTTAGCAGCGATGGCCAAGAAGATCATCTTCTTCCTCGCATGCGCCGGACCTGTCCGGCACGGAAGCGGCCTGGACACGTGTAGTACGGACACGTGCCCCCTGGGCCCCGTGGGCAGCCAGAGCCTGCTCCAAGTCGACCTGGCCATGTCTCTGCAGAAGGAAGCTGTGGGAACAACCGCGAGCACTACCTGGGCGAGCCCTTACTACATGATGACGTGTCCGGGCACTCAGGCGCTCACCACACGGAGAATGACGGAGGCAACTTACGACGAGATCACAGCAGAGGTCATAGGGCTGTATGACTCGCTGCCAAGCAACATGAGTCGAGAAGAATCCCTTTCCTGGTTCCTGTCTTGCAGTGGCAGCAGTAGTAGCTTCCTTGACGACCCTTAGAATCCTGCATGTCTCAGGCACCTGCACAGCGACGGAGTGTCCACAGGCTGATTGGGCTGGATGTGTCCTGCGAATGGCTGGTCATGACTTCATGGATTACAAAGATGGCGAGGGTGGTGCAGATGGCTGCGTGGACCTCACAGATGCGGACAATGCAGGTCTTGCCGAGTGCCTGCATGTTGGCGAGTTTGGCATCTCCATCGACAGCGCATATCAGCATTACTGTGAGTCTGTCTCCTTGGCCGACTTTCTAGTCATTGCTGCTGAAGCAGTCATGACTGCATCCCGCAAGCACGTGACAGAAGCTGATCCAAGCAGGTCCGCCATCGACTTCAAGTCATCTTTCAAGTTTGGCCGCACGACGGCCACGGCTTGTGAATGGGCGCATGGAAGATTGCCCAATCCGGAAGACAGCTGCACAGCAGTTCAGGAGACCTTCGTCGACAGCATGGGCCTTACCTGGGCTGAGGCCGCAGCATTAATGGGAGTGCACACGCTTGGACGTGCGCAAGTGGCAAACTCCGGTTACGACGGCTGGTGGAGCTCCGCAGTGATGAGCCGCAATTTCAACAATGACTACTTTGTGTCCATCTTGGCCAAAGGCTGGGCCCCGGAGGTCGCAGTGGCAGGAAACTCGGCAAAGAACCAGTGGAAACGAGCAGATTCTGGAGCCAACGAGACAACACTTGGTAAAGAGATGATGCTTAACACTGACCTTTGCCTTGCCTTCACCATGGATAACGAGGGCACCGTGGAGCTTGATGCGGCCACGGCAGCAAGCCATGAATGCCTCTGCACTTGGGATATCCCCGTTTCTGTGTCTGAAGCGACGGAAAAGTACGAAGAGGGGCGGTTCTGCGGCAGTACCACAATCCCCGGTAAGTCGAATTTCAGGCAGCAGCGGGCCCTCTGCTGTGGGGCAGAATTTACAAAAGTCTCGGACTCCTCGATTGACTGCGGCCTCCCAGTTGATCCCAAAGGACCTGCATACCAGTCGGTAAAACGCTTCGCGAATGATGAGGATGTGTGGATCCGAGTTTTCAAGAAAGCCTGGAACATTGCTACCACAAATGGCTTTTCGCTTCGCCGGCTGCGTTCGTAAGGTCCCAGTTGAGCTGAAAGTCGACTCCACATCAGTCATCAGCCATATTCGCACCCTGCCGTTTTGAAGCGAAATTGTGCAGGTAGTCCAAGATGCTGCAGCCTTGCCGGTTGAAAGAGCATCTCACCAGCGCGAAGCCAGAGTTAGCTGTGAAGATTCAGAATCTTTGCTCTACTAGTAGCAGACTCTCGCACATCCATTTGCCAGCAGCAAAGCCACACTGTACGGCATCCCAAAGAGCTAAGAAGTCAAGCAGGGTGATCCCGTGATCCGTCGGGAGGTCACGCTGGGGCCGTTTGTGCTGTGGCAGCCGACTTCGGCCGTCGTTGGGCTGCTAGTGGCTCTGACGATGGGACACTCCGGCTCTGGTCCTTCAGCTCCTTTGCCAAACTTTGCAAAAACATGGCAAGTTCAAAGCGCTCTAGGCTCTAGATTCAACTCAATGATGAATCTAGCAAACAGGGCTTGTCACAAATCAACTGCGTGGTTGGGGCCACCGAGTCAGGCCAAAGCTCCTTCTTGGCAAACTTGCACCTTGCGTTCTGCCCTCTGTAAATTCAATGGCGGGTGAAGTATGTGTGTGTGTGTGCGTATGTGTGTGTGTATACATGCATACATACATGCATGCATGCATGCATGCATGCATGCATGCATGCATGCATGCATGCGCGGATGTATGTATGTATGTATATACATTTGCACATACACCTGTACTTGTATACATGCAAGCTTTCCTAGGGTACGAAAGCGAGCTTGAGAGTCCAGATCAGCCACCACATACCATGAACGTGCAGCTAAAACTTTCCTGTCAAGTCCAGCCAGGAAACTTAGTGTCAGGGATCGTTGCTAGCAACTGCTGTACGGTGGAGACGTGATAGCAGTCTGAACCGTTGGAAAATTACCCGCCACGTAGCGGATTGGACGTTTGGTCAAGTTGTTTGCTGATGCACAGTGTGTGTTTGTTTGTGTGTGTGTGTGTGCGTGTTAGATGTCGTAGTTTCTTGGATCTTTCACTGGCAAAGGTCAGCGTGGCAGCCTTTTGACACTTCGCTGTCCAAACAACACTCCCTGGGCTCTGGCAGCAAGTTGCGAGGACATGGCGGCGGTATCCCGACTTCGCTTCCAAAAGGGTTTTGAACAAATGCCACTGGAATAGCTGGGAGCTGCAGATTAAATCAATTGCCGGTATATGGCAGGAATGGCAGCTAGTGGCGGATGTAGTGGCTGCGATAGGATACGATAGGAGTGTGGTGCAACTGGCCGCAGCACCAGCTACATCCACTGGCAACAGTGGCTTCAGGACAGGTAAGTAGGAAGTACGAAGCAGCGCGCATATTGTTGACTGGCGGTATGTTGGAGCTAGTTCCTCGGGAATGTAGTGATCGTCTCTCACCTTCAGGCTGACAGACCTCGGAGTCCGAGAGCGAGAGCGAGAGAGAGAGAGAGAGAGGGACAGAGAGAGCCTTTTTCTTTCTCTCCAGCCCCTCCACAACGGTCGGGGGCGCACTTGCGCGCGGGCGGGGAGAAATCCCCAGCCCACAACCCTGTCGAAAGAAAGACAGAGAGAGCGAGAGAAACCCCAAGCAAGCAAGTAAGCAAGCAACAGAGAGGGAGCTCCGGTCCCCAGCCCTGGCGAAGGAAAGAGAAAGAGAGCTGAGAGTCGGTGTTGCACTGATATGAGATTACTGATGCTAGCTGGCCGCTTTTTGCAGCAGTGGTGCAGATGATGATAGTCGCATGCTGTTATCAAAAGTATGGTGCCGCTAGCAGCCAGCATTCGCATGCATGCCCTAGTCGTGAATGTCATGACAGCCACACTCCCTTCACGGATGCTGCTGTTCCTATTGACTTGAAGCAGAGGTCAGCGGCCATGAGGGCGGCTTTGTGCAGGTTTGGGATCTCTCTGAGGAGGTGTGCGTGCATTCCTTTGGATTCTACCACCAGGGATTGGTTCAGGTGGTCGCTGCAGACTTCCAAAAGGCCCTGGCTGCTAGTGGCTCGGACGACGGGATCTTCTGCACCTGGGACCTGGCCAACTTCACCATTCAGCATATGGTGGAGAGCCAGTCTCTGATGTCGGTTTGGGCAATAAGCCAGACCTTCACATCCACGAAGCGGGCGATGAGTGGCAGCTTTGATGGCCAACTCCATCTCTGGGATGTGAAGACTGGGGAATCTCACGGCTGGCGAGGCTACTCGGATTGAAACAGCCATACTATGATTTGCCTATACATTCCGGTTTGACTTGGCCCTCTCAAATTCTCAAACTCCAAGTTCGGGCATGTTGACGAGAAGCAATGCAGCCCCCCGAGGCTTGCGTAAGCAACGACCCTCCATGCTGCCCCATGATAAGCCAAAGTGAGCATATGTGGTATGCTAATCTATTCTAGTATGTCATATTAAATCGTAAACTACAGAATTGGATATCACATATAATATTAGAAGTGTACATTAATTAGACCACACACTATATTATGTGTTCTGTTCCATATTGTAATGGTTTCATATTGTGCCATATGATTTTAATTTATGACATTATCTTTCATTCCTGTATTTGACATCAGTTGTACATGATGGATGACAAATATGTGATACTGTAGATGACCGTGAATCTATGTACACACATGTGTGTATATGTGATACAAACATCGCGTGGCATAGTCGAGTGCGAGTGCTAAACAAAAGTTGCGTGCAGGTAATGTAGGTCTACTATATTATACATGTAAATAGTATTGAACATGTTCAAAGGTCATATTGTACATATCCGTACAAAATACACAAACACACACATGCATACATACATACATGCATGCATACATACATACATGCATAAAAGCATAAAAACATATGTGCATGTATGTTCATGCTATATAGTAAACATTATGCTCTGTATATCATGTATCGTAGAACCGTAGTATATGTATGTATGCATGCATGCATGCATGCATGCATGTATGTATGTATGTATGTGTATATATATATACACATATACATACTGCACTTTACTATCTCAAACTATATAATATTATATCACAACATACTATGTTCCATATTTCATGTGTGCAAATATATATATATATATATTATTTCAATTCTTTATGTTTCAGTGAGCCAGGTGCCCCAGTCTGTGCTTTGGCCGTGGACTTTGAGTCCGGCCATGCCGTGAGTGGCAGCTTCGACGGGCAGGTGGAGCAAAGACACAAGTAGGATTGTTTTCAAGGCTGCACATCATGTGAAAGACGGTGCCGCATGGGAAGACGTTTTCGAAACAACACTAAGCACTGATCGCAATCTGAGCTTGAGGAGCCCGTGCAACAGCCCCTTTCACACGTGACCCCTCCATCAGAACCCAGCAGGTCTATGTTTGGGATCTGGCTACGAAAACCGGGACTGCTTGCTCCGATCCTCACTCCGCTGCCGTGCGCTGCGTTGTGGCCAGCTTCCAGTAAAAAAGTCGCCATGCGCGCATGGCTCCTGTGCAAAGATGCACGCAGATGCTACAGAGACGGTGCCGGCATGCATGGTAGCATATGACGTGCATACTGTATTGCACACGTGTACTTGGCATATGTAAAACTATGTCCGCGTACCTACCTACCCACATTCGTCGTTCTGTGCTTCTTTACTTGCACATATTTGTACACTTCCCTCTCGCCTGTGTTGCATCCGAGAGCCACGATCCCAGGGGTTGTTGATTTTGCTTCTTCCGCATTCATGCTTATCTTCAGCTCAGACAGACGGAGATTAGGGTAGAAAGCAGTGTAAAGATCTAGTGTCACGCTTATTGCATGCATGTATGTACTTTTGTAGATATGCATCCCTCCCGATCTCTATGCACTCACAATTATGCAGCTATGCACATCCACAGCTAGTTATGGAGATACCAAGACAAAAGGACACACAGCCATACTATCAGAGAGACAGTCGCATACGATTGGAAGACAGGTTAAGAGTCAGAGCAGAGGCGAGCACATTATTGTAGCCAAGGCAGCGCTCAAGACAAGGACTCGATGACCCAGCGCATCGGGAAAGATGCTTTGATGAATGACATGTGGGCTTTCTTTCGTCCATGCGACCCGCTATCTTCGAAGTTCATGTTCCCTTGTAGACGATCTAGGTCTGAGTATTCCTGTTTGGTTTGACACACATCCGGTAAGTTTACCAACCCTGCCGCCCCGAAGGTCGGCAGCGTTTACTGCTTGGGCCGCAAGCTGGGCTCTGGATCCTTTGGAGAGATCTACTATGCAGTGGACTCGCAGTGCTCCGGCGAACTCTTGCGGGGCTGGTTGAGCGAATTGTTGTCTAGCTTGCCCGGCTGTAGCGGGGCGAAGATGATTTTGGTGCCACTGCGCTTATCCATGATTAGCATCAAAGTCTGCACAGACGGATTATTTCTCCCAGATGCTGATGAGTCTATGTAGCTGTCTGCGTGTGCGTGTGATCCCCCATTGTGTTGCAGCGCACGCTGCTGAACCAAACTGGCGAAGGTTGCTTTCACTTCTTGGGCGTGATATCGGGTTGTCGTGAAAGATGTCGTGAAAGATATGTCCCTTTTCCGAGTTGCCCAATATGCAAGGCATTCAGAGGATGCAGGCTTAAGGGGAAGTGGGGGAGTGGGGCACTGAGTCCAGACTGACACATCTTGGCTATTTTTGCAGCTATGTCCTTTCCGACGGCAAAGACCGCAATCCACTGAAACTGAGGACCGGAAAAGAGCTCGCAGTCAAGCTCGAGCGCGTGGATAGCAAGCACCCGATGCTCCTTTATGAGGCGCCTGCCTTGGAGCGCCTCCGTTGGCAGAAACGGAGACACCTCCTCCGACTCTGTGTGACTAGCATCGCTTTCCTAGGACGCAATAGCAGTTACAGACAGTGATCCAGGCAGCAAAAGTCGTTTACCGCAGTTGCTTTTGCTGCCAGGCAAAACTCCTCAAGCATTTGGAGGGTGCCCAAGGATTCGCATCAGTGTCTTGGCTGATGCGTCTGACGTGAATCATGTGAGTCAGCATAGAAGCTTCCCAATTGGCCAAAAGAATGCCAGGATCGGTTAGGAAACCCCACGCAGTTGCAGAAGCCCTTCATCTCAACATCCTTGCTGTCGCCGGAACAAACCTTGCAAGAATGGGCCAATGCACCACGCCCTGGCTCGCCCAGGTGTACTTTTCGGATACGCAAGGACGCGGCCTTGGCTTGCTGCGCATGTGCTTTCATCCGAAGTCGATCAGCTATCCTGCGGCGCTTGCGCTCTCTGAGGCGACTACAATGTGATGGTCATGGACCTTTTGGGGCCCTCCTTGGAAGATTTGTTCAACATCTGCCGACGGAGGCGGGCTTTCAGGGGCTGTCGAGCTGTTGTTCGTAAGCAAGGTGGAGAAACTTCCGCTTGCACTTGGGCATTACACGGCTCCGCTTCGGAAGAGGTTCAGCCTGAAAACGCTCATCCTCTTGGCGGAGCAGATGCTTTACAGGTCCGGCCTCCCACCTTCTTGGGTTCATAGGGCCCAGTCTTCAGACATTGGGACATGCCTGTTCTTTCCTGCTCAGGATAGAATATCTCCATTCCAAAGATTTCATTCATCGCGACATCAAGCCTGACAACTTCCTCATCGGCGTTAGCAGGAAGACCCAGCAGAGCCAGATTCTCTACCTCATTGATTTTGGCCTTGCCAAAAAATACAGGCTGGAGCTCAGAGGGAATTCCTGGGCATAGTGTGGCCGCTGACTCAAACCGTATGCTTTGTTTGGCTGTCAAGGGCTCTGCCGATGGTGCCTTGACACAAGAATGCAACCCTGACATGCTTCTGGTGCAGGGACTCCAAATGCAATCACATCCCATACCGAGCAGCTTGGTTCAACAATACCAAACATGTTAAAAGTGCGTGTGCTCGAGGGCTGCTTCCAGAGCTTTCACTCGTGGCGGCCTTGTAACAGAACTGCCGGTCGAGTGGAGCCAGAAAGACTTGATTTGCACTTGCACGCGTTGCATCCACGGGGATTGAAGTCGAAACCTCGGCAGTCCAATAGCTAGACAGCTAGACCTAGCCCAACCAAAGGAAGCGGACATGAGTCACATCACCGGCGGGTAGCCCGAGCTCCGAGAACCGGAGCATGAAGGTTCAAATGCCAGATCCTAACTGAGGACAACAAGAGCATGACCGGAACTGCCCGATATGCGTCCGTTGGCACCTGAGAAGTTTCCAGCTTCCAAGAAACGTTTCGGGGGGCAGCATCTGGTAAGGCAAACATATCTGCATCATGTACTTATGTTCTGCACTTCTGAAGAGAAAGATGAACAAGCATCCTTCTTTTTTGGTGATATCTCAGAGAATAAACCGAGTCCCGTTTGGGAGGTAGCATTGGGTTGCCTGCTTGACTCGCTTGGCTGCAGCCATCAGCAGCATGCGGCAGCTGATTGAAGGATGTGCCCGTTCACAGTACCAACCCGACGGCCGAACTACAAAAAGCAATGATGCCACGAGACAGTGATCCAGCTAATCCAGCTATGCGGAATCCAGCAAAACACAACTGAGTTCGCCGTTCGCCCGGCTGGAATTCCAAGCTCAGCAGGTGAATGCTCACCGTGGAATCGAACAGAGCCGCAGAGACGACATCGAAGCAATTGGCAGCTTGGCACAACAGATGGGCTACAGGGGCCCTATATTGGCCTTCAGCCGCAATGCTTGCACGGCTCTGTTGACTTTAGCAGCCCGCCCAGCCTCGTGGGACATTCGCACTTCAGGGTTTTTTCGAAGACAACGACCCGCGCCTGAAGTGAACTTTCCTGACTTGCAATAGACTTTCGCGAATTCACAAGGCTTGGTAAAGCCTAATCCCTCTGGCTCAGGATATGTCCTGATCTACTTCTGCAAGGGTCAGCTGCCGTGGCAAGGATTCCAGGCAGCTACCAAGGAGGAGAAGCAGCGTGGCATCATACATCCGTGCGATACCGTCCAGAGATTTGCAGCTTTTTTGCCCGTCTGACTGAAGATTTGATTCAACTTGATTTGCTTGACTTGTCGGCCCATCAGGTACAACAAGATCATGGAGTGCAAGCAGTCCACTTCTGTCGAGTCCCTCTGCAAGGGCTGCGTGGCCAGCAACTCCAAAAGGTTTATGGAGCCGGGGTCTTCGTTGTGATTTAACATCGTTGTTTGGGAAGGTTCCTGTGGAGGATTGGTGACTGTTTGTTGTTCTCAAAAACAAGAAGTGCTTCCTTCCTCGCCTTGAATTGATGAGTTCTGGCCAGGTTGCCCAATGATCTTCGTCACCTACATGAACTACGCCAAGGCAAAGGAGCCTCCAATTTTAAGGCAATCATGTCAATTCAAATCCTATCCTCAGAAGCCCTGCGCCACAGAGTTGACACAACTCCATGTTCGACTTGCCAAGGCGCTGCGGTTTGAAGACAGACCCGACTACGCCTACCTTCGACGTCTCTTCAAGGAGCTCTTCGCGAAGGAAGGCAAGTTCAGAGTTTGGGGCGTGTCAGGGCTGTGTAGCTTCTGCCTAGCGGATAGACGGGATTTTTGAATACCGCTCAAATGCATATTAAATATATCTGCTGAGCGTCTAGGCCACATGCATGCGCACGCGGTTTCGCCCCATGTGTCAAGTCCAGCACGAAGGCGAGTGCTGCAAGCCGCTGTGTGTTGTGAAGCCGGGGTCCTTTCCGAGGTTACGAGAACGACGGCGTCTACGATTGGTCCCAGCCGTCTGTGACGGATTCCGTCACCTCAAGCCAGTTCAACAAACAGGCCCAGGGGATCTCGAGGGCATGCTGATACAAACATCTACAAGGCACGAGAGAGATGCCGACAGTTCGAGGTGGATCTAGCCCGAACTCAACAGGGCAGCAGGCAGATGTCATTTCTACTCTATGGTGGGAGCGCATGCTCGGGGACGTGCCTGCGAACACTGAAGTCGCAGGTTCAAGATTACGTCATAGTGCCAAATCCGTCCCAACCTTCCAAGGACATGCGCGGGTGGGGTGTCGCCTTGATACAAGCCCTCAAGCACGGGTGAGGAGGAGGGGAGGAGGCTTTGCATTCATGGTGTGGGCAGCCGGTGCGAACAGCATGGTCTTGGCAGGCATATAGAGGCCTCACCTGAGAGGTCAGAGTCCGCCTACCCCTATCTCTCTACTCGAAAATCCCAAGAGGATAGTTCTTTCCCCAAACCTTCGATGCTAAGTTCGACCCGTGAGAGTCCCTTGAGAGCTGACAGCTGACAGGCCGAGGCGCGTGGTGAACCGCAGCTTCGTGTCCGTGAAGTGGGCGCCGTCCCCAGCGTTAAGGGCACCCAGCTTCAGCTTTTGGGCAGGGGCTGCGGAATCTGCGGTTCTGGTTGTAAAAAACGCGTACGAGGCTTGTCCATATGCTGTGCCTGTGTCTCAGATAACGCCTCATTCCGAACCACACATCCTGCACTCGGCCTTCAACAGAACCGCTTTTTTGATTTGCAACGATGTGCACTGTGCTTGCACTGTAACCTTGCTACACTGTAGCCTTTAACTTTAGAGACATGTCCGCTGCGGTCAAGGCAGCAAGCAGTACCGCAATGCGGGGGATGAGCCGGCAGCCGAGCCTAAGCTCTGACAGAATGGGTTACGAAGTGGCGAGCGAGGTTGATGATGATGATGAGGAGAGGATGGCAATGATGATGGCTACGACGATGAATGTCGATGACAGTCGATGCCACGGCCGTCGCAAGGTACAAGGTTTTGCGGCATGGCCACAACATGATGCCGTGCCCCATGGAACCTCAATGAGGATGATGGTTGGGATAGGAGCAGGAGAGTTGGAGGAGGACAGCAGTAGAGGTCGTGGTAGTAGTGGTAGTAGCGGTGGTAGTGGTAGTAGTACTAGTACTGCTAGCACTGCCAGCACTACTGGTGCCACTGGAGTCGTAACACTGGAGTACTATACTAGTTGTCGCCGGTCGGCGTAGTCGTCGTCGTCGTCGTCGTAGTGGTAGTGGTGGTAGTAGTAGTAGTAGTAGTAGCAGTAGTGGTAGTAGCAGCAGTAGCAGTAGTGGTAGTAGGACAGCAGCTGTTGTTGTGGTGTTGCTGCTGCTGTTGTTGCTGGTGCTGGTGGTGGTGCAGCGGTAGGAAAGGCTCCAGAAGCAGAATCAGCAGTGAGAGTCGTAGAACAGTGGGATGTGTAGTGCTGCAACGGTCATGTTTCTCGTGTCAAGGCATCTCAAGGCTCCATGGTTTGGTGTTTGTCAAGGGAAAGTTTGGACATGGATAGCGGTCGGGGCTGCAAATATGATATCTGATATCTCTATGAAACCAGAATGTCAGACATGCATGTGTGCCACAGAGCAAGTTTATTGAATGAGGAGGGGTCGCCGATGCGATGGCAGGGACTCTTGGAAGCAGCTGCAGTGCTTACTGACTCGGCCTCGAACGCAGAGTCGACTTGCAATTAGGGACAGGGTGTGTACCAGCAGGTTGGCGGGGACTGGCCTGCCGATCCCAGCCGCAGATAGAGAAAGGGAGTGTATGTATGTATGTATGTATGTATGTGTATATATATGTATATATATTCATTTATTTAGCGCGTCTCGTTGCCCGTCGGAGTCGTGCTTGGGGGCCAGTATTGATAGAGGGAGGAAGAGCCAAAGACAGAGGCAGAGGGGATGAGAGCAGCGACTACTTGCTGCCATTAAGCCCACTTGAGCAACTCCGTAGTGGACAAAGGGAGGGGAGAGAGCGGAGGGCGAAAGCAGTCTCTTGTGCCTCCGAAATGAACAAAGGAATCGCAGGATCGGGTGACACAGAGCAGTCATGTAGGGTCACGAAGCGAGCATGAATTTGCCGGAGTTTGGAGTGTGCTGTGCGTGCCCTGCTTGAAACTTGAACCACGTCCAGAGCTTGTCCTCCAAGGCTCTGCAAAGGAGACAAGATCCAGGCATGCGGACTCCATGCGGAGCACTGCTCCGGCTGCTGCCACAGATCGCTCCATGTCTATATTTGGAACTTGGCTCATAACACACCTGATATTGTCCTTTTGGAATCAGCGCAGACGAACATAGCTACTCAAGCTGGAGGCTGCCATGCGAGGTCCCGAGGGATGGCTGCATGTCATTTTCGGCAATCAGTGATGCAGCACCTGAGGCGTAAAAAGCGCAAGAAGCCATGGATTCGATTCAGAGGCGTGCTGTTCATTGCTGTCAATGTTCGGTGTGCATAGTGTCATTGTGCTCTATCGATGTCAAAACTGTCAAAACTTTCGACGATCGTGGTAATTATCTAGTCGATGACGGTTACTGTAAGGTTACGAGTACTGCTACTTGCGGCTGACTACAACAATGCCGACGACGGCGGCGGCGGCGACAACGACGACATTTACTGAATCTGCTACCTACTACTGCCTACTACCACCACTACTACCACTGCTACTACCGCCACCACCGCCACCGCCCCCGCCCCCGCCGCCACCACCACCACCACCACCACCACTACTACTAACACTACTACCACTACTATCACTACCACCACTACCACCACTACCACTACTACTACCCCTGCTGCTCCTGCGGCTGCTGCTGCTGCTACTGCTGCTGTCACTGCTACTGCTACTGCTACTGCTGCTTTTGCTGCTATTTCCAGTGCTAGACTGCTGCAGCAACTGCTGCTGCTGCTGCTGCTACCGCTACTGCTACTGCGGCTGCCACTGCTACTGCCAGTGCTAGTGCTAGTGCCACTGCCACTGCCACGCACCACCACCTCTACTGCTGCTGCTGCTGCTACTTAGGAGGACTAGTACGACCGCCACCAGTACAACTCCTAGTGCTACGGACACGGCATCGACGACGACAAGATCTTGCATGCTTTCTAGCCCAAATGCTCTTGTAGTCGTTTCCAACGAGCCCCGATCACAGGTATCGCCGAATCCGCGCAAGCCTTCTGGGTCGGGGAATCCGCCTAACCGTGGCTGGTCATGGTTGGACACGAGCTTGTCAATTTGATTGAAGGAAACACGAAGCATCGCTGAGCCGTTTGTAGGGCATAACACCGCCTAACTTTTGACGCCTCTTTGCAGCATCGGACGAACACTGACAAGCCACAGTAAGCCGAGCTCTGTCTATCTCTGCCTGAGGTGCAGGATTCTTCAGGTCTTTGTTTGGCTGTTTCTCGGCGAAGGCCTCGCAGTAGAAGCTACTTAGCGGCTTGGCTGCAACAAGCAGGCCTAAGATGTCAGCATCAGCCCACCGACTCGACAGGGCAGAGTGGGCCAGAGATGTACAGCAGCTGATTGCCGAAGCACAGAGCGGGGTTGGCAGTGCCTGCCCAAGGCCGCAGCTTGACGTGGCGCTGTGAATCCAATCTGTCGGCATCTTGTGCCAGTGATTATGAGGTGTTACAGAATACTGCTTTTATTACCATGGCTTGCCCTTTCAGCTCAAGTTCGAAGGGGTCAGCCAGTGGAAAGAAGCTGTGCCTTGTCTGCGGAATGACCATCTGCCTGCCGCACCTGTGGTTGATCATTGCGGCCTTACAATGCAGCCTACTGTGCAGAAGATTCAGGCATTCAGAGAGTCAGCGCCGATTTTTCTAGTCGATCAGCAGCGCCTAAAACTAGGACTGCTGCTGAGTCCATCCTGTCACCAACGCTTGAAGACTTGAAGATGCACGAATGGGGATGTGCCATGTCGCAATCTTGCATTGAGAAGGTAGCATTCGCACATCAAGTCACGTGAGAATGTATATTTTCGGCACCATTGCGACTGCACTGCCCGACCTTGACTCTAGCTTGCCAAGCGATCGTCAGACCAGCCAAGGCTGGTCTGCAAAGTTCCAACATGACTACTCGGAATACCAGAGACTTATCATCCTGGTTGTTGTGTTTTGGGTTTTCGGCAGCTTTTCGTTTAGTGCGACCTTGCTTGAGCAGCCTTGACACGAGATGCAATCTGGGAGCCAAGTGCCGAGCCCTCGTGACCTACGGAAATGTTTAGGCGAATTGAGGTGTAGGGGACTGTTGTCGCAGCAGCTAGCTTGGGCCGCCAGCGGGCTTGATTCCTCTCAGATTGCTGACAGCAAGTTTCGGAAAGAGAAGCTCATCTCGCTTCAAATCGACGGAATGCTCGGAGCTTGTGCATCGTCGACCTTGGCCTTGCATCGCGCATGCATTTTTGACCCCTTCGGCCAGGCGAACTTAAGCTGGGGTCCACCTACCTGGAGGCATTGGTGCATGTTCGTGTTGTCTGTCTTGCTGTCTCACTAGGTCTCGTGTGTGGTTGTGGTCGGAGAAGGGGAGGGGGGTTGCGAGCTGCGTGGGGCTAAAGCTTCTGGAGTTTCGAGTTTCGGCATCTTGTATTTGCGATTCCTTTCCGACAATATACCGAACGTGTGAGAGGGATGAAATTCGGGCTGCGTCCGAATGGCAAAAACAGCTTGAATCGTGGGAGTTGTGCCGAATGCCGACTCAACTCGAGAACGGGTTTTTCCAATTGTCGCAAGCACAGAGCCAGAGGCCCCAAAACCCTTGAACCTTTCTGACACAACAGGCTGGCAACAGTGCTCTCCGTGGTCCAGAGGAGAGCTTGCATGAAGCCGCAAGCTGAAGGCCGCACCTACGACTCGGCCTGCTAGTCCAAAGTCATGTTACCACAGTTCGATTGTGTTCGATGCATGACTCAGGTGAGTGATAAGCAGTGGATTGGTCAGGTCGTGTTTGTCCCTGCTGTCGTGTCTCTGTTCCCTTCAACGACTCCCAGGAGCGCAGCTTGGCCAGGTGGCTTGCACGCCGGTCAGAGGCAGGATCAGGCCGCCCAGAGCAGTGCTGTCATGGGTTGCTGAGCTGCTGAGTGAAACAGCAGAACATCTTATCGCAGTGAAAGATAGCAAGAGCAGTTTTAAGTAGTGTTGCCTTTGAGTCCGCTCATTGAGCATTTGTGGCTGACGTTTCGGCTGCCTTGGTAAGTAACACGCATGGGCTCCGCGCCATGAAGAGGCAAGCAAACCATTCCGTCCTGAAGTCTACCGGTGCAACTGTCCTGGCACCGGGTCCCCGCACTTTTGGAGAGCAGAGGACTGGTCAAGCCCAAGCAGCCGGAGCTCCTGTGACCTCTGGCATAGAGGATGCCCGAGCATTTAGTGACTTGAGCAAAGAGGCCTCGAAGCCTGTGCCCGAGCGACGCGAACGGTCAGGATCGGTAAGCCGTGCTCCAGTTGATTGGCCAAAAACTGCAGCGCCTGCGGACGTTCTACCGTCTACTGCGTCCGGGGTGGAGAACCAGAGGAGACCTCCTCGTGGGCGATCCAACTCTGGTTTGCAGGAGCAGACGGAAGCTGCTGGCAAAGCCACAGCTGCTGCCTCCACGAATTCCGTATCTCGATCTCAGATATCTCAGGCTGCAGAGCCCTTCCCCTCGGAGTCAGGGCGAAGGGGCCGAAAGCCTTCAAAAGAACTGCAGCAGGCGATGAGCCTCGATGAGGAGCTGGAGGCCCTTCTCAAGACAGTGGAGGAGCCGAAGATTCCCTCGGCCACAAAGGAGCCTTTGCCTGTGAAGGAGCCGACATCAGAGCCTTCCAAGGAACCTTCGAAGTCTGCAAAGGCCGCTGCCTCTGCAGAGAAGGGACCCGACGGGCAAGAGCGGTGCAGCGTTTGTGGGGCACAGTTCCAGCAGGGGCAGAGCATCTATGAAAGCACCATCGCAGGCCTGAAGCAAGTGCTCTGTAGTGGATGTTGGTCAGACGTAGCCCCACACTGCGTCGCTTGCGGCAAGCTGATCTCAGGGCCCATGGCCAAGGTTGGCGACGATGCCTACCATCAACAGTGTTTGAAATGCGCGATCTGCTCAAAGGTAATAGACGGTGCCCTCTCCAAGCTGGACTGTGGTATCTGCTGCGGTGCCTGCACAGAGGAAGTGGACAAGGACCTACGGGAACTGCGGCGGCTATACTCGGCCGGCGACTTCGAGGGTGCCGCCCTCGTGGAAGGAAGCCTGAAGGCTCGGGAGGGTTAGAGAGGCTTAGGCTTAAGGTGCGGCCCAAATAAAGTCAGGCCAAGCTCTGATGCCAGGCCCGCGGGATCAAGCCGCCCGAGCTGAAGAGCCGAGACTTGGGCCGCTGCAGCTCCTGTCAGCTCCCTTTTAAGCCAGGGCAACAGGTCGGTGTAAAATAAAAAAGGGCTCTGGGCTTGTGGGGATGCACTTCAGGTTTCTCCAAGCCCTGTTTCTGTCCAGGTCTATGAGAAGGACGGGGACTCCAAAATGCTGTGCGAAGCGTGCTTCCTTTCTGCCGCCCCTGCCTGCGCAGCTTGTGGCAAGCCAGTGGTGGGCATGGTCGCAAAGGTAGGGGACGACAGCTACCATCCGGAGTGCTTAATCTGCTCATCTTGTGGTGGACAGATCTCGGGGTCCTTCGCCAAAACGGATGCAGGCTTTGTGTGCACAGAGTGCCAGGCAACCCAAGCTTCGTGACCACGAGCGACTGCAGGTTTGCCGGTTACCTTCGTGCGGGACCACGGCCTTCAAATTTCAGATGTTTCACCAAATCCGACGCCCTAGCTCTTGGCAGTCTGTCAGGGCTATTTACGGAGGAGAGAAAGCTTTACAAAAGTCTGCCGTAGTCCGAGCTCCGAGCAGGCAATTGCCATTGCTGACCCTCCTCCGCGAGTGCTAGCGAAGCTTTGGCGAACCGAGGAGATCGTCCAAGTGTCAATTTGAAGATCCTTAGTCTCCAAGTCGTGGCACATGAAACCCCTTTGTGCGCGGTTTGGCCATTGGCATTTCAGTGACATCGAACCACACGAAGCCTTGGTTTGCCGCCCCCGTCAGTCTGCGAGCTGTGCGCATGCTGCCCAAAGGGCAGTCTTGCACGCTTCCGGACTTCATGTACAGTATGTAAAAAGTAAGCAAAAAGAACTCCCTTCCGCACATAACGCACAAGTTTGCCCCTCAGCCTAAGCTTCTGCCTTCCACTGGTTTCCGTACAAGGCTTTGGCCTCGATTCCGCGCATTCCCGGTGTTTCCTTATGTGGATGTAAGGGTGATTGCAAGTGGACTGGGTGGGAGAAAGTACGTATGTTGTTTGCTGGACGCAGAGACTCCAGAACGAGTCCACCACCACCACCACCACCACTGGCAGCAGCAGCAGCAGCATCATCAACGTCATCACCATTATCACAATCATCGTCGTCACCTTCATCACCATCATGGTCATCATCATGCTTATCGGTATCATCATGAGCGCTCGCAAAGGTAGAGATGTTGCATGACATACCCGCGGCAATTCTTGTTGGTGTTCATCTTCTTCTGACGATGAAAGAGAGATGATCGGATGACAGGCTCCTTCGCAGTTGCTGTTGCTGTTTCTTGTGTCTGACACTGACCACTGCCGGCAGGGAACAGTCTTTGCTTTGCCCAGTCTCGCCGCGAGAAGGGCCTCAGCTTCGATCGCTGCTGCAAGGAGCTCCCGTTGCGCTGGGTTTTGTCGGAATCATATGTTAGTCCGCAGCCCTTGTTTTTGTTTGTCATTGCGTATACTTCGTAAGAACTCGTGTTGCTGTTCTCTCTCGTGTTATGCACCCCTGAGTCCAGTTCGCGAGTGCTGTCATAACGCAGCATGTGTGGTTTCTGTTTCGGAATTAGTGCCTGTGCAGAGGAAACTGTGCAACCTTCCCAAGCCTGGTTAGGTCAAGTTCCGCCAGTCATGTCCAAAAGAGTTAGTGGATATATAACTCGCAACGCACATTATAGGAGCATATTCATGAGCTGAACCTCCGCGAAGCTACAAAAAGAAAGTCCCCCTACCGACAAGTTTGCACTTCGGCATGACCCGATTCCCTCCGAGCTTTCCAGTGGTTAAAGAAACTAAAGCCAGCATGTTACGGTTTGGAGCGGGAGTGGGTGTGTGAATGGCTTTGTGCTGATTTGAGCCAGGTGAAGTCCAACCCCAAGCTCAAAGACCCTAAAGCCAAGAACGCCAAAATCTAAACGCTCTGACGTTTGGCGGAGTCCAAGTTGCGAGAGCGTCACAGCTCTGACGGCTTGGGGTCTCACAGGAGCCCACCGCGGACTGCTTCGATGGACAGGTCCTCACCGAGTTGCCCGAAGCTGAGCCTGGGTTGCGCACTCCAGTGGCCCTGGCTGAACTGTATCGGAAGTTCGGGCAGTCGAACATATATAATATAATATCATATAATATAATCTACTATAATATAATATAGTATAGTATAATATAATATAATATAAATGAGCTTGAAGACTGCATCAGACACGCCTGGCTGTCGCGGCTCAACAAAGCTATGTAGGCCCGGGGGCAGGGCCAGAACAGGATGGAAGGGAATGAGGAGCCCAATGAGGAGCAGCCGAAAGAGGCCACCAGTTATTTCGCCTGGCTCGGGGCAACCGGTCGCCCAGAGGCTGAGAAGCCTGAAAAGAGACTCCGGCTCACAGAAGCAGATCTAAGGGATTACGGATAGGGATGTACACCTTCCTTGCAAGCTATCGAACCCGAGCGATCCAGAGAAAGAGCATAGCCTCTAGAACATCTCTAGAACCGTCAAGTGCCAAACACGCGAATACCTAGCAAAATGACGGTTACCTGGGCAATGGCGATGCTCATTTAACTCTTGTGATTACCATTCCTTGTCATCGTACATACACCTTTTTTCGCGGACTGCCGCTCTTCCAGCACCTGCAGTCTTACTCTTTCTAGCATTCGGATACTCTGATACGGGGTTTCCGAAAATAGGGGATGTTAATATAGTACCCCCAAATAGTAGGATCCTTATTTAAGGACCCCAAAACAAGGTCCCCTTATTGTCCAAACTCCCATACTGTTCGTATTTCTGCGAGTCATTGCATCCGACTCAGGAGCGGCGAGCAGGTGAAGGCAGAGCGCTATGCCACTCAGATGCTGGCTCTGGATCGGGTGATCTCCAACTGGCAAGCCAGGAGCGGTTCGGGCTCCGGGGAGCAGAGGCTGTAGCTGGGCCGTATATATATATTTATTTATTTATTTATTTATTTATTTATGTGTGTGTGTTTGTGTGTATATATATAAAGTATATATTATATCAATTATTATAAATAAGAGTCATCATGCACATCTAAGCCTCTGTGACTATGCAGCTGCAGTTCAGACGCCACAGCGCATGCCTTGCATACCGACAGGAACGCCTGCAGTGGTAAAGAGTTCCGCGGACGTCTGCTTGTAAAAACACATTAACCGTGCCAGATCACGCCATAAGGCATGGTGCCATTGCATGCTATGACTTGTCGGACTGGGAAGGAGCATAGACAAGAAGGGTGCGCTGGTACACTGCGACCACATCCTTGAAAATATCAAGGCAATCGGCTCTCTAGATGGTGACATGGCCACTTGGCTTCTCTACGGCTAACTTGTCATTGGGGCGACACAAGTTGTGCGGCTCGGGAAGCCTAACGAAGCATCAAGTTGAAATGTTGTGATGTTCTGAAATGAGCCTGGCTTCTATCGCTTGTCGCCTAGAGTGTCCGAGCAACGAGAACGGCGTGTGCTGCAATCGGCTGCAAAGTTTACTCGAATCGACGTTGAAAGCATCATCCCGATATTGTAACTTTGGTTCGGCATGGACCAGAGTTGTGCAATTAAGCTTGCCTGGCTGGACCATCTGTCCAACGGCTCGAGTTCATGCTGGTATGCTCGTAAGTCCGGCCGCTGTCTTCGTGTTTGTGTCTGAGGTTCCCTCCAAACGCGCTTAATGTTTACATGTGAACAAGAACCACTGAAGGCCTTTCAATCGAGATCCTGCACTGCTTGTTAAAGCCTCGGACTTTGTATAGGCATGGCGCATTTGAGACTCTACTTGTACCGGGCTAAAGTGTTTATCGCATGTATGGACTACTGCAAACCTGCCAGCGCTTGGGCGTTTACACGTCCATTTCCATCACATGGAACTCACCATGCTAATAGCAATATTTTGGTTTTGTGCCAATTCTCCTTACTCATGTACACCTCTGAAGAGATGACAGGCACGGACGTGCCTCAACGATCGGGGCATCAGCGACACCAGGCGTTTGGAACTGCAGACCATCGGCTTGCATCATAAGAGCGAGCAAGCAGACTATTGACTATAGGGACAGGAGGAACAGACCTACTGTGGAGCGTGGCAAGGATGGGGGCGGGGGGGGGGGGTTTCTGTTGATGGTGATTGCGGCATGGTGCCCTTGGTACTGTTGAGGGTGACGAGGCTATCTCGTATTTGTCGGAATCTAAGGGCCGGAGGTATAAGGTTTCACACAGGTTCATGTGTTCCGACCCGTGCCGGTCAGGGTTCCTCGGCTCAGGGGATGGGGTGTTCATGAAGGCAAAACAGGTCATGTTGCCGTGGCCGCTTCGAAGCCGCACCGGTCAGAGTTGCTACTACCTACCATTCCTTATTTTAGGCCATGGGACCTCAAGATTTGATGGGCTCGTGAGCATCTGAGAATCTGTGAGAATCTCAGAATCTAAGGACGGCTTATCGAGAGCTGAAGCAGACCTGTGGACACAAGGCGCACACAGACCGCTGGGGCCATCCGCATTTCGGCATGTCAGTCAGATCCGGTATTCAGCTGCAGCACCCCTAAGCACTGCACTGCAGACTGCTTTACATAGCTCCTTTCCTCTGAAGGTGCCCCATTGGGCCGCGGAAGCCTCCCAAAAGCAGCAGCCGTCCGCTTGCTGCTGATCTCACCGACGCAGTGATGCTTGAGCTACTTAGCCAGCTGTTCTCCTCAGACTGCAACCAGTGCGGACAAGATTCGTTTGCGACTGTTGCATGCAAATCTGCAGCACTGCTGGTAGAAATGATTCTAATGATTGCTGCCGGCAGAAGCCATCGTGTCACACTGTCGGCCACCCAGATATGCACTGATCGAGCCGATTCAGATCGCCGAATGGCGCGTCACTGACTCACCCACGGTGGAGAAAAGCTGGCGCGTCCAGACCAATCTTCTTACCTTCCTTCGGCTACTCATCTTGCATCACTGCTGGCCACGATTCGTCTTCGTCGTTTACTTGTTAATTGGATGGATGCTTTACTTTAGCCTCACTTTATGCAAGCTGCAGAGATTGCTGGCCCATCCTCCCACCTCCTACGCCTGCCGCCTTGACAGATGTACCAAGACATCTCTCGCTAGCTACAGATGCTGGAGACAAAGGTCCTACCCACGACCGTTTTGCCGTCCTGGTTTAATCTGCAACTGCAAGCCAGAAACCCAGGTCATGCTGCCGAAGTCATGGACATCGCTGCGCCGATTTGCGTCTCCATACCGCAGATCCGCGGTTTCCATTAGATGGAGTTCCTTTTTCTTTATATCTTGGCAAAGCACAAGCCCTAGGCCCTAGGCTTAGGGTCCACCAGATGTTGGGTCTTCCACCATGCTCAGGAGTACATCTTCCCCGGTGCGCCGGTGGAGCTCGATGTCGAGGCGCAGGTCATGATCCAATCCTTTCGAAGCATCGCATGTCAGTCCAGGTGTTGGTCGAGCCGGTTCACTGCATGGGTGACGACCTTTACCGGGATTACTTCGAAGAGGTTCGAGTTCGGATGGAAGGCAAGACCGCCGAGCAGACTATGCAGGACAGTCCCAACATCTTAAACCTGAATTGCCCCCCACGGCATGCTTCGTGGCCTTGTCTTCTCGTTGGGTGACTTGACGCCACTACCCGTGTGGAATTTTGCTCGTACCTTTGCTTCCTGCCCGTGCGGTTGAGCAGACCATCTTCAAAGGTCTCTAGTGGCGATTGGTTCACCGTTTTGTAGAGAAGCTGTGTCAACTAGCGCTCAGAAGACGGCGGGATCTAGGTTGCAAGCTATCAGAAAGGCAATTACTCTGGCACACAAGTCCCAAAATCCTGGTCGGCAGGATGGGATTCTTGGCACGCGCGTGGAGTTGCTCATAGCGAATCAGGCCTTTGGGACGGGAAGCAGCACGGAGAACTGAGCCAGCGCTTGAGCTAAGTACAAAAAATTGAATAGAACGCAGTTCAGCCGGGCACCATCTGCACCTGGCAGAGCGCAACGGGCGTTGTTCATCCCGCGTCATGCTGCATGCAATGCTGGAGGCAGCGCGGCCTCGAACCCATCAAAGAAATTGCCCTGTAGAAACGAATCAAGCTGGAGGCGCCCGTGCTCACAGACAGCTGCGCAGAAGTTGCTCTGCTAGGCAGCGACTGAGCGTCCAGAGTCTGAAAATTGTGCAGACCTGTGCATCAGGATATGTGTGCATGTGTTTGTGGAAATACGTTTACATGATTAAATTAATTCTGTCCATGCAGACATAGAAGTTGAGTTACTTGCATGTCTGTGCACGTAGATGTTTGTTTTGTATGTTGATATTTACATATCCGAATGACCCCTACTAGCTCAAGATGCCAAGCTCGTCCAAGATGAAAGGAGATAGGATGCCAGGATTGCACATGACTGCACAAAAACTTGTTGCTGCAGCCGGACTTGTCCGAGCGCGTGTAGTGAACTTTCTCGAAGGCCGCATCGTGGTCACCCAGCGCATTTGCCAGACGTTGCTGCAGAACCCACTCTCACCTGAGGCACAAGACAAGTGCCTTGGGTGCATGCTGGGAGCGGTTTAGTTGTCTTGCACTGTGCTTCCGCTACATTTCCGAAAAATCCCAAGCCATTGAGGACGACTAAAGCTCGAAATCTGATTGTGCGGATGCACTCGCACCCAGGCAAGAGAGGTTGATTGCAGACGTTGCCGAAGTCATGCCCAGCTTCACGGCGAACCAGCAGCCCGGGTTCAGATTGGTGTGGCTGTGTGCTGTGTTTGTCTGCGTCTCTGTCTCTCTCTGTGTGTGTCTGTGAGTCTGTGTCTCTGCGTCTCTGTGTCTGTGTGTTTTTTACTTGTTTGTTTTGTTTGTTTGTTTGTTTGTTTGTTGTTTGTTCGTTCGTTTGTACAGATACGTATATATATATATGTATATATTATTATTATTGTTATTATGAATACACAAATATATGAATTCACAAATATATATATATATATATACATATATATATATGTATGTATGCATGCATGCATGGATGGATGGATGTATGTATGTATGTCTCGGTTTGTTTATGTGCGTCTGTTCATGCAGCTATAAACTAAGGATGCAACAATGTAGGCGTAGACAGTGCGTTCTCATTAATCGACATGCTTATGTGCATGGGCGGGGCACGCTTATACCAGACTGCTACTCCACAGACAAATTCACATACAAAGAGAAGGTTGCTTGTCCATTTTCCTTTGCAGAGCCGGCCATGTGGTCCGCGAAAGTTCCGTTTACCAAGGCCTCAGAGAAGGCACTGTTGCCTAGCAGCTAACCAACTCACCATATTTTGAGTCAACCATCTCTTGCAGCTGTCGGGTTTGAGGTTGCCGGTGCCCTGAGAAAACATACGACAAATCCGGCAGAAGCGCTTCGGTGCAGACAGCCTTTCAATGCCGGCTGTACGTCGCAGGGCTGAGGTTGGTAAGATTAAGCTCGGGTTTGAACTAAAACTGTAGGCAGCACATCGCGCGAAAGACTCCCAAAAGCTCTGGCGTGCCTAGAAGGCAGTAGGCCATCACATGATAAGAGGCATGTTTTCCGTGTGTCTACCCGTGCTTCGGCATCCACGTGTTTGTGTTGGTGAGCTTGGTGTGTATACATGCACTGACATACATACATACGTACATACAGATATACATATAGATGTATAATATGTGTGTGTATATATATATAATGTACGTTCCTATGCCTACTTGTAGATGGTTGTTGAAAGGGTGTAGTGTTGTATTGTAGTTGCATGTTTATTGGTTCACTGATTAACTTGCTTGTTGGCTTGTTTTGTGCATGCATGTCGTCGTTTATGCGTTTGTTTAGTTACACGTCATTGTGTTGTGTTCATGTGTGTGCATGCATGTGCGTGTGTGGGCTTGGTGGAAATACAAGGAGAAATATCACTTTGCAATCAGCCATATCACATGGCATCTACAAGGCGAATGTTACACTGAAGCCTGCCCCGATAGTGCAATGATTGGCCGTGGATTGCCATGGTCCCCCAAGTTCAATCGCGCAACGGCATGGATGGTGTGCCCTTAAACATCTCCTGCCCAGGGTGCTTGGCTACTTCACTGGCCTGCCCCAGTACGTCGTGTCAGATCTCCTCTCTGGAGCTTGTGCCTTTGCTGAGACTTTTTGCCGTTGTAGGCGCCACGCGGGCTCACCAGCCACATCGTGCAGGCTCCAGATTCTCGATCCGCATGCCCGGGTGTACTGAAGAGAAGAATGTCCTGGGTCCTGGGCTGTTCTGTAGCTCGCCCGGAAGATATCCCAACGTGTCCCAAGACCCGAGGTGGCAAGATGCTGCAGGCACGGTCACGAGTGAACATGTCCTGTTCAGATTGTCCTTGCGTTGACTTGGGGGCTTGGTGTGACTTCGAGCTCCCGGCTGTTAGGCGGATCGGGAAGCTGGCGAGTTTCGCGAGGCAGGGCATTTCTTGTGAAAGAGAGGCTGCCCTTTGACTCTTGTTTCTCAGAATGAACCTCTTTGCAGTCCTGCAGTACCAGTCTTCCAGACTTTAGAAGCCACGACCATCTTCTCACAGAAGCTACCAGTAGCCAGCCTGTCACAAGCGCTTCAATGGGACCGTGGTTCCAGAGCCCACGGAAACTGTCAGGTGCTAGAGCCGATGTATCGATGGCCCCAGGCGTGGGAACGGCCGGCGAGCCTGCGTTTGAACAGTGAATGCCAGCCTTGGCTTACTTCCGGGCTCGGGATCACTGGCCACTTTCGATGGTTGTTGTTTCTGTGTTTGCATGCTCGTTACTTTTGGCTTTTGGCACGAGAACCAGAGTTCAGCCAACGTCTTTGCAGCTTTGCGCAGGCCTCGATTGCATCTCAGCCTTTGGAAGCTCACGGCCTCCGCTGCAAGGAGGCCGAGCCGGTGCAGGCCCGTGGCTATGGTTCGGAGTGTCACAGCAGGAAATGAAGCCCAAGCTAAGAATTCCGCGGCCAGGAAGCAGGCTGATTCCCGTGAAATGGCTTGATGTTTTCTTCAGGTCGGAGAGCATGTCGATGTGACCGGCATCCCGGCTTGAGCACTACGTGTTCCATCACGCGAGCACCGGAGCAGATGCAGGCTCAATGTAAACGGTACGGGGCCTCCCCATAGCGCTGCTCTGCCAACTCATCTCATGCACTGGGATCTCAGCCGTAGTCACCCTGTGGAATGGCAAGGTTATGACGAACTGCCGGTGTTTTTCGCAGACCTCGACCACCCGATGCCGGCAGACGGCAGAATCACCGACATCAAGGTGAACGCAATGCTGCATGCAGATGAGGCCCATGGCCGCCTGGAAAGGATCTTCGGTGAAAACCTTTGCATGCAACGCATACCCGTACTTTGACCAACCTGGGATAGGGCTTGTTTTTCCAAGACCAGGTCGACTATTCACACTCAGTCAGGCAGACAAAAGAAACAAGGAGTCCGGGCCTACCCTCGTCAGACAAGTATCTGGGCCATCGAAGTTCACCTAATAACGTTGCCCCGGTGATTCTGGATGTAAGGCACAGGCTTCGGCTTCATGACTCGATCTATTAGGAACATCAGTTTATCAGCTTCTTCAGCCGCGTATCCGACCGGTTAGCTCGTAAGAAAGTGAAGCTTGTGTTTACTTCGCCGTGAGCATTTCGCCACGAGTGCGATGTGCTGCGGGGAATCTCGCCGGGAGAGCACTCATCAAGCTCGTGTAAACAAGGGCCTGCGCCTGGACGTCATCCTCCTCCGACCACAACGAGTTGACGGCCATTGGCGCTTTGAGCGTCGCGGCGAGCTGGTGCTGAGCCGCATTGTGTTGAGATGTGGAGCGGAAGATGAGGTTTCGGGACTACTGGAGGGCGAATTGGATGCAGGTAGAACCTCAAGTACAGTCTAGAACGTTTCATTCTACAACTGAGGACTTGCCAGGCAATACTGCAGCCATCTGTAGCCTGGAACACTGTAGACCAGCAGCAGCATCAGAATCTTCGTCGTTCACCATCGTCTTGGTGATGGAATCGGGACCCCGGCACACTGCAAGTGGGCGTCATCGCCGACTCAGGTTCAAAACATACCGAATCACACATGTGCTTCACAGCCGATTCTCCAATTCGGGGATAACGCAGCGCACTATTTATATGTAGTTGGTCACGTAGTTGGTCACCAAGGTATAGACAAGATCGCACGCGTGCCGAGCCAAGCCGCAACTTCATTTCCTCAACCTCCCCCCGAACCTGCCAGGGGTTTAAAACGTTCCCCTGACAGATTTAACTGCAATTCTGCTCCGAAGCACCCACTTAGGCAATCCTGGGGAGAGTCGATACGGAATGAAGCCCACCCAACACATCGACCTTCTAGCAATCGCAAGCCTAGCTAAGTAACAGCAATCACCCGACAGAGTTGGTCGAACAGGTGCTTCTCGGAGAAGGCGCAGACCAACAGGCAGGTCGGGAAGCAGTAGTATCAAGGTCGGGGTCTTACTAGTACTATTCCTCGGGGGTTTTTAAATAGTGCAACACAATCGTCTACACACCACCCCAAGGAATGACACGAACATGGGCTTCCAGTTCGTGAAGGTTCAAGCGGATTTGTGCGCACACCCGTAGGATTCTTGACATGACGTAGGCGACTACCAGAAAGCCAGCACAGGATCTGCTGGTTTGGCGCGGTGACATCTTGGCTTTTGCCGGCATCGGGCTGCGCATTTTTTACCGCCCCCCTGGCAGCACAAAGTCCGGCTCGAGGATAGAACACGTCCCCAGAAGAAGTCATCAAGAGCGCAGGCATTACGAAGCAAGAGTCTCAAATCTCTGACATGCTGGAATCTGCCCATGGCTGCGGCCTATGTAGGATCATAGTCCTACGCAAGATCAGAAGATTCTGCTGTATAGATCTTTCCAGAGATATCGGCATGCCGACCGGTTCTGAAATTTGATGTTGACTTGATACTGGATACTTAGCTCCGCTGGTCTTGCAGGTGATGCTTTGGCGCTGAGTTGGGCTTGCAGTGTCGCTTCGTGCCCCACACATCCGAGTCCATAAACCTGCCACGAAGATGCGCGTCTTCGCTGTCCTCGCCCTTGCCATGCTTGCCGGTGCCTCGCCACTGCTGCGCCCTCTGAGCCCCACGGCGCCAGAAGTGGCGTTGCCCAGCGCCCTGTGCTCGCCCTGCGTGCAGCTCGGCTCCCAGGGCATCAACTTGCTGCTGAACTACCTTCTGAATGCGGGTGTCGTGACGAGCTGCTCAAAGCTTTGCAGCCACCTGCCTGGCAAGGCGGAGCAGACTATTTGCAACCTCGCCTGTGATCTGGCTGGAATCAAGGAGTTTGTGGACATCCTGAACCACACGGACTTGGATCCCATCTACTTCTGCGAGCTCTTGACTCTCTGCCATGCAGGTCCGGACGACGCATCGGCACGCATTATGGACATCCAGGCTTCGCCTTCGACCATCTCCAAGGGCGAAACCGTGAAGCTTCTGGCTGATGTCAACGTGACAAAGGCCCTCGGCGTAGGCGAGTTCCGTCTCGCCGTGCACGGCCCAGTCACTTCGCATATCTCGGATGGCTTTCTCCTGCCGAAGGGCCTCACTGAGGGTGCTATCCAGCTGGGTGCAGAGCTGAAGGTGAGGGATGACACCTCCGGCGATGAGCCTGTGATCTGGCGTCCAGGCACCTATACCTTCGACATCCACCTTTGCCAGGGCGAGTGTGGCTCGAAGCACCCGCACTCAAAGGACTTCGGCACGGCCACGGGCAACTTCACCTTGAAGGATGCTCTCCTGATGGTGTGAATGACATGAGCGGCTTGCCCACGGCATTTCCAAGCTCGTTCCCGTGCTCTGCTTGGGAGCACCTATTGTGTGGCTTGTTTCTGAAGCGCGATGCCGAGCTCATGGCTCATGCATCTTGCGTTATTCGCAGTTTTGAGGCCTAAAACATTTATGTTGCAAGCGGCCCTTCAAGTTTCGAAGGCGATCTTCCGTGTGGCAGCCATGAGCTCATTCCGGGTATGCCGACATCCCTCCCTAACCCTGGCACCAGGTAAGGACTCCGACTGCCCTGATAGCTGTGGCTGCAACATGTCATATCAGACTCAGGATAACAAGCCGCTGTCGGAAAAAGGACGTCGCAATGTAAATGTCGTTCCATTTTCAAGGACTGTCGTTGCTGGAGCACCACCTAGAATTCCCGAGTGTAAGACTACCACCAAACCAGAGGCCAAACTGTTGTCTCAACACGGCTGGATACGAAAGCCTCAACTACACAGAGCCCCAAAGCTCAAACCGCCTGAAGCCTGGGAGCCGCAACTGAGCATGCCCCCACTCCCGGCAAATCTGCGATAAGCTGCGAATCCCAGGCAACTGCTCCACTTGCCGGACGGCCGAACTACCGAAGGACCACTCCTCTTTCCTGGCTGAGGCCTGGACTGTGCGCTTTCAGTGCTCACAATGTTTATGTGAGGAATGGGGATTTTTGTCTTTGGGGCACCGTGACCACTACATCGCCTTGACCGGTTGCTTTTGGCGCTAGCATTCCGGCCCGCATGCGCTCCAGCTAGTATCCCTGTCTCGATGTAGACAAGGCACAGAAGCCTTCGGCCAGGTTCGGAAACAGGAATACGGTGATCTAGGCGCCGGCTTTCGACCTGGAGTCGAAGGTTCATGATTGACACGGGCATCTCAGGATATCGTCTTCCTAGCAGCCTCACAGGTGTCAGGTGAGCAAGAGCAGATCGATATGTAGGGGTAAAGATGAACACTAAGTCAATAAATAGATCCCACCGTGCTTTGAGCCGTTTCAATTCGGGGTCGATGGCTGCAACAAACCCACAAGCAAACAAAATCCATCCCTCCCTCCCTCCTCCATCCTTGTCATCTTGTAGCATTCAGCTGACTCTTGATTGTCTCGTCATCCTGTGGGCCCCGGCTCTCCGAAGCCTTCCTGACTTTACAAGATCAAAGTCAGATCCTTTCTGTGCTGAGTGGATTCACTGTGAAGCTTCGACAAGTGCATGATTGCTTCTTTCTGTCTCGCTCTCTAGCTCTTGCTAAAACAGTCATTAGTTACCCCCATGGGTACCCCTTAACATTACATGAAATTACATGTCTGTCTGTCTGTCTGTCTGTCTGTATGTCTGTCTGTATGTATGTATGTATGTATGTATGTATGTATGTATGTATGTGTGTGTGTATGTATGTACGTACGTATGTATGATTGTTTGTTTGTTTGTTTGTTTGTTCGTGTTGGTATGTTTAGGTGCATCTGTATACTTACAGAGCACTACAAGACATAAGCTGCAGCAGTGACATGGCAAAAAATAACAAGCGTCTTCAGAATAAAAACATACGAGTTGAGGACAAGGTCCTGTCATCCTCAGATCCGCCAGCAATGAAGCTTCAGAAATCCTTGCACAGACTCTCGGAAATAGCGTACGCCGAGAACAGATACAACCAACCGCGCTTCCACGGTATTCGCCAAGATCAGCATGATAGGAGTGCCATGCATCAGGCTCCGCGCTTCATCGTTCGTACGCGTGGTCGGCCAAGCTCTTCCCCATGCGCTGTGAGCCACAGCGCCACCAGCCTGAGAAGAAAGCAAGCCCTGTGGAGAGTCGTGGACTATCTCGAAGTTGGGTGGCCTTTCAGAATTCTAGGAGACTGTTTTGCTAGGAAGTCAAAGTCAGAACGGATGGGGCTCGAAGTAGGTAGGGCTGAGGATATGAAGACAGGCTGCCCAAGTACATTGCCCGAAAGCATGAAGCGCACAAAAGCCGAGCAGCTCGGCATGTCTACCACGCTCAACTGCCCCCGGTCTGGAGGTCAGCAAGAGTCGCCGGAGCTGCCTGCCATGCGCCTTGCTCCGACGCCTCAGATCTCACGGGCTTTCTGCAATCCTACCACTCCTCAGGCTCGAGGGCTTCTGGGATGACGCCGGGTGTTGGAGATCTGAGCCAGGCGATCATAAGGAACAGATCTCGAAAACTCTCCGTGACGGCTAGCTGGGTATTCCAGCAATAACTTGCAAGAGGGGTTCGTGCAGGGCACTTCGCGCAGGGGCTAGAAAGGCGTTGCTGAAAAACTCTATAGCTTTGTGTAGCGGCGCTCTCTGCCATTTTGCCAGTTTGCGTGCATACAGGGACACGAGAGTTGCAGTCATGGCACGTCTGCCAGTCCATGTGCGGATTCTGTCTGTCAGTTTCGCAATAGATTATGGAAGTTCTGGGTGAGTGTGTTACGAGCCCCTGCCGCTCAACTAAAAACGCCGGGCCGACTCCTCGAAACTCCTCGAAAGATTGCTCACGACTTTCGCTTCTCAGTGACCCCCGGTCGCCACAGGACCTTTGGGGAACTGAGTGGGACAAGCGGAGCTGCCGCTTTGAAGGGCTGTGCCTGGACTGCACTCGCCGCAGGGCTGGGAACGGCGTGGGGGTCCGACTCTAGTTGCACAGCTCAATATTATTCCCACTGGTCTAAGCGTGATAAACATTGCATAGAAAGGAAGCCCGAGCTCTGGTGTTGCTTCTGAGAAGTTCGACCTTCGAACCAACCACTTTCCGCACTTAGGACGTCCGTAGATGCATGTAGATGCCGCAGAGCTGCTTCCGCACCACACGTAGAGAGGAGGAGATCTGTGCATCCACTCTGCACGGGCCGGCACGAGGCCCTGAGCAATGCTGTTGGAATTCATGTTCCGTGGACAGTTGAGGTGCTACGACGTCGACAGCCGGATCTTCGAATTCTACAGCGGTGCCAGCGCCTCCGGCCTCTCTCCTGGCATAGCGGATCCAGATGTTGGTTTCAGATGTTTGCCACATAGCTGCGAAGCCCGGTAGGTGCATGCGCATGTGGTGGTGCACAGGAAGCATCCATCTCCAGGGCACTTCTGATCTACCTGTGTGATCAAGCTATCAGTGTCGCTTAGTCTGAGGGCCTGTAGATGCGTGCTGTCCAAGCTCATGGCAGACCTTTTCGTGGAAGAGGCTCGCATGTCCCAGTCCGAGTCTGTGACGCAGGCAACGCAGGGCCCAACGCAGGCGTTCCCTGTGGTGTCACAGGACGACGTGGTGACCGGCCATGCATCAGTGGTCTCCACGAAGCTTGGTGAGCAGTTCGAGTTCAAGTTCGAAGAGAGCACGAATCAGGCCTTTCTCGGGCGCTCGCCGGATTGTGAAATCCGGGCAAAGGACTCACATGTGTCGAAGAAGCACCTTCGGATTTATCGTGATGAGCAGTTGCGCTACTTCGTCGAGCAGCTCAGCGCTGCTGGGACTTTCATCAATGAGGACTACATGAGGAAGGATGAGCACCGCAGTCTCAAGCATGGTGACACCATCACAATCGCCACAAAGCGCTCCGACGCAGTTCCTTTCGCATCCTTCTTCTTTCGCGTGAGAGGCTCAATGACGCAGAGCGGAGCTGTGGAGGCGGACAAAGATGAGGATGGAGATGGTGAACTTCGGAATTTGGTCACAGATGATTGGGTGAGGAAAAACTGGAGCCTCCGGGAGGAGTTGGGCAGTGGCCACTTTAGCTCCGTCCAGCTGGGTATACGCATCAAGCAAGGGAGGTTGGAAGCCTTGAAGCCTGGCTTGAGGTGTGCTGTGAAAATCATCGACAAGAAGACTTTCGTAAACTTCCAGGCAAATCGCTCGTCGGGCGTGAACCTGAATGATGAAGCAGAGTTGATGAGTAGCCTGCAGCACCCGAACATCGTGTCATGCTCCGAATGGTTCCAGACACAAAATCACATGTACCTAGCTCTGGAGTGTGTCCCTGGCGGAGATCTTCTGCACAACCTGATGGATGGAGGCTGCCTGACTGAGATGCAGGCGGTGCGTATCTTCCGCCAGGTCTGTGGCGCCGTGCAGTACCTCCATGTCACGAAGTCTCTCGTACACAGAGACCTGAAGCCGGAAAACATTCTCCTCACCAACAAGGACCGGGACACGATGATCCCCAAGCTTGCAGATTTCGGGCTTGCGCGCATCAACCAGAAGTCCATGGACTGCCGCACATTCTGTGGGACGCCACAATACTTTGCTCCCGAGGTGATTGGCACAGCCCAAGAACCCAGCACGGGCTATGGCAAGCAGGTCGACATGTGGAGTCTCGGAGTCATTCTTTACATCATGCTGTGTGGTGTGCCACCTTTCGAGGATGAGGGCCTCTACACACAGATCCAAAATGGCCGCTGGGAGTTCGATGTTCCCCAGTTCTCGCAAGTTTCTGAGGAGGCAAAGAATCTCATCCGCAAGCTGATGAAAGTGAACCCACGTGAACGCATCAGCATCCAAGGAGCCCTCAACGAGCCTTGGTTCCGCGTTCGCGAGTTCGCCACTCCGGCGCGCTCGACCAAGTCCCATGCCGCAGACATGGCCGTAGGTAATACGGACGAGCCAATGTCGAAGAGGCGCAAATCAGAAGCCGGCATGGTCATTTCTTGACGACCGGGCTCATTTCGTGTTCTTTGCAGGCTGCGCTAGCCTGGTTTCTTGCATGGCTCGCTGCCATGTTGTACATTGCACCTATTGGGGTTTCACAAGCAATTAAGCAACTAGCCGGTGGCTAGGTTTGCACAGTTAAGTGCTGGACACCTTGTCCAGGGGCGGCCTGTTGTTGCTACAAGAATGATGTATTGAGTGTATCACATGGCATCTACGCGGTGAGCATCTTCAGGCCCTCCAACGTGCATGGCTGATCCTGTCTACTTATACCGATCACTTGGAATCCGAAACTTTCTCGGTCCTGTTTCTCTGGAATAGCCATGCTGCGTTCGTGCACCTAAGCAGAAATGCTGCCACGGGGACATCGATCACGGGGAAGAAAACAGACGCGCGAGCTCAGCAGGAGTACCCAAGACGCACTTGAGTTTTACACAGTGCGACTGTCTTGGTCCCAGTCCTTGGGGTGTTTGTCTGTTCGTCTTTGTGGCAGCTGAGAATGTCAAGGAAAGCCACCACCCAAAGCCGCACAGCATCATGACGACGATGGTAGTGGTGCCGATGGTAATGATGATGGTCGCCACCACCAATGATGGTCAAGCACCATTGCACACCAAAAGTTGGGGCCGCCCGCCTCGCCTTAGCGCATCTTAGCACAGCCCGACGGAAGCGGAGAAGCCTTGCAATTTCTCAAGTAACCTGAGGTGAGGAGTTCGCAGTGGGGCTGTCGATGTTCAGCGATGTTCGCACGGCCTGGCATCCTCGGGTTCGCGAGGCAGGCTGACAAATCGTGTCCAGCTTCAGCGCACTGTATGAGAGCAGTCCAGAGCTTTAGCTCGTTGTTTCGAAGTTTTGTCTCGGGGCCTTCGGTGGTTTACCGCCACAACGCTGCGGCCTTGCACAGCCGGAGCTAACCAAGAAGAGCAATCCTTAATCTATACATGTGTCCGAGAAAACCCAGGCCATCTACAGGTAGGGTTCTCACCCACTCAATGCCATCCCGCTTACAGGCACCCGACTCCGAAGCCACGTGGGTGGACGTGCCTGTTTACCTGGCCATGAGGTGCAGTTGACAGCAATTTTTGGTTCAGGGCTCTCGGCCAGAGCGGAAGGACTTCCAAGTTCTTGGGTCTTTGCAAGATGGGGCCCGAGGCATGCGACAAGCGACTGTGTCGAAACTGGTTTTGTTTTAAACAACTGGCGGGCGGCATGTTGATCCTAGGTGCAATTTTCCTGTCCACGCCTGAACGGAGGCATGCTCCGCAAAACTGGGGTCATCATGCAGTGGAGAGCCATGGCGGCAACATGCTGTCGATGAAACCGTCGCAACCACTCGATGTTGTTGGCATGTGCAGTCGTGGTACCGGCTCCTGTTACCTATGAGACCGACATGGCTCGCAATTGCTAGGTATGCTTCTGCGTAACGGCATTGGTGCTTGAAGCTTGTTTAAGCGTTCCTTACTTCTTCCTTCTGTTTCTGTTGAGTAGAAGTCGGTGTGGTCCACGAAAGAAGAACAGCACTCGTGCCCGGGCTCCTGTTCCGCATCTCTGCATTCCTTGAAGCCTCTCCGATGCAGCAAACAGTCGCCCAAATCTTCTCCGAGAGCCCCAGAGGCCACACAGCGCGTACAAAAGGACCCGTCCTTAGAACCTTACTATAACAGTATCTATATATAGTAACTATTATAGTGAGATTATACTATTTGCTGTATAGATTCCAAGGAAAAGGGCAAATCCGCCGGAGCGGTGACCGCAGTATCTAGAGCCCGAGGCATGTGACAATGGGCATTTGTTGTTTGACACAGGCAGTCCGGAGCTTCCGGCCTTTTGAAGATCACGGGGCGAGAGGAACCTTTGAACCATCTGCAGCCTTTTCTCTAACCAAGCACTGCAAAATGAGGACATCGCTCGCCCTGTACGCTCTGATCATGTCCCATGAGGACCTTTTCGAACCTCGGCTGCCAATACTCGAACAGCAATCCAGCCATACATGGGCAGCGGGAAAGCTCAGGAGCCTTCTGGGCGGCGTCTCCTCTTCTTCCTGGATGAGTGCTCCCTGGAACTGCAGGGGGACGCCGTGGAGCCTTGTAGAAAAGCCATAAACCCCCGAAGGGTTTTTTGCAACCCTGCCGCATTGCCGTGAGGCTAACAGCCACTCAGAGGAGATCTGAGGAGAGAAGGCGCTTCCATGGCCCTCCTAGTCCGGAGGAAAGAGCCGAAAGGTTTCAGGCTTGGGGCAGATCTGAGATAGTAGAATCTCTGTATGTAGTAGGAAGCTTCAGCGAGTGATCAGAGACGTGTAATGCGAACTGAGGGTGTTAGCCGGGCTGATACAGGCGGCGCTAGTTAAAGAATCCTATAGATACCGAATGCCGGACTCATCAGAGATATTCTGAGTGAATAGGAGTGTGAGCAGAACTTAGCTCCAGAATGATTCGCGCTTGCAAAAGCCAACTTCGCGACACCAGCCGAGGAGTTCTGCATGCGGTTCGTGCCAAACTCGGTGAACTGCCTCCAAGACATCTCCAGCTCATGCGCACTGCGGCTGCACCAGCTGCTGCTATTGTTTCAGTGATACTCATCCTCCTACTCGAATATCACTACCACCCCCACCAGCAACAACACTGCCACCATGTCCACGACTGTCTACGACTGCGACTACAACGACTACTATTATTACGACGACTTCCACCAATGCTTGCCAGCCTGCACTTGCTGATGCTGCTGCTACGGCTACGACTAAGGCTTACAGCGACGTCGACGACGACTACTACTTCTGCCACTACCTCCACCTCTGCTACCACAACCTCCCACCAACTTAGTCGTGTGCTTTTGCTGCTGTTCTTGCTGCGACCCATGTGATGCTAGAAGTGTGTTTTTGAGTCCGAAGTCGACCCCGGTTGCTGAAGGGTCCAGCCCAATGCTCAGACTATCTATTCGCAGCATGCGCTCCACGAACCCTCTATATGATGCGATGATCGTGTTTTAAAACCCTATTTGCACATGAAAGCCCCAAATCTTAGCTCCAGCACTCCCCAGCTGCCCCTGCGCCGTTGCTGAAACTCCACCATGGCCTCTGTGAACGTGATCACCGACAGCCGCCTCTTCACCAGCACTGGCTGAAGTCGGGGTTCCACTTCAACTTTGCGGAGTACCACGACGGGCCCAGCGACGTTGGTGTCCTGCGAGTGATGAACGATGACCTGGTGCAGGGCGAGCGAGGATTTGGTGAACACCCGCATCCGTGAGTTTTGTGCCAGGGCTTTCAAGGCTGACACGGCTGTACAACCTTTACACGACGTGGCATCCTGATGAGGAGCAGCGGCACTCTTGGTCTGGCACCCGGTGCGACGGTGAAAGAAGGAGGAGAAGTTTGACTGGAAGTGTCCCGCTGCCGGCCGGCAGGCCTACATGCTTTGTTTGGAGGGGGAGTTGCGATGCCAGAAGCACAACCTGCAATGCCACGATGCAACAGAAGAAACTTCTGATGTGTGGTGCCTTACAACTAACTCATTGCATTTACACTAATTCATGGAAACAGGATGGGCTTTGCGTGCTGTATAGTACGTAGCCGTCTGAAGTGTTCGCTTTCGCACGCAACATGGTTCTACAGCCAGGCATGGCTCTGCCTTGGAGAAACGATGGGCCGTGTCGCCGTTTCGTAAAACTGAACAGTGTTCAACTAGAGATGCTGTTCGCAGAGGAAACCAAACAGAGAGAGAGAGAGAGAGGAACCCGAGTGTCAGCATGCCTTCGCAGATTGCACTCCAAGGAGGGCAGAGTCTTTCCTGCAACAAACATCGGATACTCCAAAGCTGTGAGTCGAAAGCGCACTAGACGCCGGGTTCAGCAGCACCAGCGGCTCAGGCAAGATTCACCAGCCAGTTGTGGCCGCTGCTCTCCGACTGGGCACCGCTGGAGAAGGGAAACGTGCAGGAGCGCTTCTGGGCGCAGTTTACTTCAAGAGCCTGCCTCAAGTGAAACCAATTGCAAAATCAAATTTGCTGCCTCTCCCTGCGCTTCAGGAGAGACTTCCTGGAGTCAGGACAGCAGGGAAGGCTGTAGCCGCCGGAGCCCTGTTTGGCCGCCTTTGGTGAGCTCGGGTCGGCATCCGGAGGACACTGTGCTTCCGCTCTGTCGTCGCTGGTCTTTCCCCCTGGAAACGCCCGGTGCAGACGAAGGCTCCGGCGGCATGTCAGCTTGCGGGCCTTATGCCTCGTGTGCGGGGCAATTCAGTTCTTGTAGAACGGACAGCACTGCTGTTCCTCTCAAGATGCGGGCTCATGTTGCATCCGAACCTAAAGAACCCGACTTGGTGTCGTTCGAAGTGGCAGATGCCCGGCATCCTGTGGATCCTAGACCTTGGTAGTTCGGACACGTCGTTGCGGGTTTTGTCGAAACCCGATTCTGAGTTCTGAGTTGAGAGCAGACTTTTCGATCAAAGGAGACCGATTCCAATACTGCTGCTGTAGACCCAAGACTTGGATCCAAACTAGCCCCTGAGAAGGATGCTCTGGGGCGCCGCCTCACTCAGCAGGACACGGCTGCAGAGCGGACACAAATGAAGTGCCCCTCTTCTTTAAGCCGCCACATCAGAGCAAACAACGATATTCCGATGGACCTTAAAGCCATAGGGGGCAAGCAGCTAATTCCCAAACACCTGCTCCAGAATGCTAACTTTATATTGCTGATGGCCGATAGCAGTTCGGTGATCCAATCAAATCTATTTGAGTTTGCACTTCTCGTCTGGCTGCCTGCTACTTTTTAGCAGTAGCAGTAGCAGAGCAGTAGCAGCAGGAGTAGGGGTTGAGAGAAGAAGACGTACCAGTGGTCGTCGCCATAGTCCTCGTTGCAGTATCGACATATTGCCATCTTGCTGCGCTATCTGCTGAGCTCGAGTTCCCGTTGCTTGCAGGAATGGGCTGCCGATCCTTTGCTAGCGCCTGCCCCTTCACCTGGAAAGGGATTGCAAAGGGAGGGGTTTGCAGCCGCACAACACTCAGTGTGCGCCGACAGACATCCGGAATGTGCCGTGCCTGATCCGCGAAGTACCGATCAGCTTATAGATTTCGTACAACACCGTCCCGAAGTTGTGCGTGGCACAAGGCCTTCCAGTGTCTGACTGCGCTTGGGTCCTCACTAGCTTTGTCTGGTGGCTTCTATCAGGTCATCCGGCACTTTCGGGTTCGGGCCCTGGTGACGAGCCTTCCTTGACAGGTAGCTACTGCTGGTATTGCTACTGTTCATGCTGTTTCAGTTTACTTCACATGTTCTGCTCCGAGCTTGGCAGCTGACTGGATCTGAGTGTTTTAGCGTCCATTCAAAAACGAGACGCCCGGCAGAAAGCAAGCAACAGTCACACAGATGACCTAGCGTAAGAAGGTTTGGCAGCAGATTATGTTCAGCAGGAGCCTTTGTCGGACAACCCCTATACCCGCAACACACCCGCGCCATGTACACGGACCCTGCAGGGTAAATTAGCACGACAACGCTGCACATGCAGCATTCCTGCATGCGTGCGCTACTGCCGACGGCGATTGAAGTTCATGGACGGTGGCTTTGCTGCACCAGCGAAGCAGGCAAGGCACAGAGGAAGATTGACCCTAAGTCGAAGAAGTTGTGTGCAGCCTACGCCAGTTCTACTTATTCTACGCCATAGCTGCAGCCATCTCCATGGTCCACTGAGTTTCGTTGCAATGAAGGGCGAGCTGAGCCCTGGAAATCCAATTTGCACTTATTTTGAGCCCGGTCGTCCCGAGAGATACTGGAGTTTAACTTAAACCTTCAACACATTTAGGTGTTTAGGGTCGAGGTTCGCTTGGATAAAAAAAAAAATATATATATATATATAGCGGCTATAGCATGGCTTCGTACCAGAAGATCCTTGTTCGGGCAATTTCCGACCTGCCTTTTGCTCGCTGGTTGAATTCGGAGCTTTGGCGCGGGCTTGCCCAGAGGAGCGCAGGTGGTGGGATGCATCCTTATAAGACCTGGCTAGGCTGTCATACGATCCCGTCTGATCACTTTCAACATACAATGTTACAGTGGCAGAGCTAAGTCGCATCACGTTTTGTGGATCGCACTCCACAATGGGGGGAAGTGGGAGGGTCGCATCACCGAGCGTCGCTTGGGGATTCGTGATCGCCTTGATTCGGGATTGTTGAGGTTTGCTTGCTGAAGCTGCGTTTACAGCGAGTTACATGGGGAATCGTTCTTTCTGTAGTGGTGTAACAGCAACCGCAGCAGAGCAGCAGAAGCGGTAGTAGCTGTTATGTTTAACAGTCATCCATCACCTTGTAGCAATGTCTACTTGCAATGCAGGCCTATGGGCCTAGGTCTTTGGCCTATTTGGGCTTGTTGATAATCACCATGTCGATGGGGAATGGTTGGCTTGGTTGTGCTGTGATGCCACTGAAGTTTGTCTGAGTGTGTGCTTGTGAAATCGAGCTCCTACTTGGGGAATGGCTGGTTCTGATGTGTTATGACTCCACCGACGTGTGTCTTGCGCGGGCGCTTCTCAAAGCGAGCGTCTACATTGGGAATGGCTGGTTACCGGTTACCAAAAGCTTTTGTCTAGTGGATGCCACCTTGCTGGTGCGGCGTCTACATGAGGAAAGCCATGCCGATGTGTCCATGATGTGACCTCATCGCATCGCACGCATCCCCTTAGACGGCTGTGTTCCAACAAAAAGCGATGTGACTTAGGGCCTCGATTGTACGTTGGGCACAGTACTGAGTACTGCATGCTGCTGCATAGTTTCTGATTTCTATATGTGGCCTTCCATAGCACTGCAAAATGTAATTCACACAAGGCCTACATGCTTTAAGTACCTGAGCCGAGGTGATGCAATCCCCACCACACAGGACATTTGCTCGGTGCTCTGTGCGTCAGCACCATCAGGGTGCGTGCGGACTAAGTTTGACTGAGTCTGCAGTACATCGGGCAATAACACAGCCGGACAGCTGCAGGACTCTTCTGGGCCTGTTCAACCAGGCGGGCCAGGTGAAGCTGAAAAGGAGCTGGGAGACCAGAAGCAGGGCCGGGAGGACTTGGAGCGGGCTCCGGGCACCTCGGCTAGGCAAGTCGAGAGTGGGCGCCTGCCCAGCAGCTTCCTGCAGCAAACGACTTGCTATGTCGATTGGAGCCGACTTGATGTCTTTTCTTTTCCCACAAGGTCCGACTGTCGACGGCCAGCTCCCGGGCCCACCTGTGTCTTGGGTTCGTGGCTCAGTCGTCGAGAAGATTTCTTGACTTGACCAGGCCACTGCAGGCTACCCAATCCCCTGTCGCGGCCAGGAGCGGTCGGAAGATGATGCTGCAGACATCACCACCCGGGCCGCAGACAGCACCGACGGTTCACACCTGAGCACCCCAGGACTGGAGCTGGTGCTGTCTCGAAGCTTCAAAAGCCGTGCGTGGGACCTCAGGCTTAGAGCCTGCAGCCGCGCCATCTCATGCCACGGAAGTCTTCCCGGCCGAGAATGCCGAGACACAGGCTTGGCGGACCATTCATTGAGACCGTTCCAGCTGTAATCTGCAACCAATGTCCAGTAGCTTCGAAGGCTGCAGTGGTGCTGCCCACGGCCCCGCTGCTCGACGGCTCCTTGTAGCAATGCTATTTTCATCCCAAGGATAAGGTGTGCACTCAACCGGCTCTTACAAGGTCACAGCGGCGAGGAGGTGCAGGCTGGCGCTTTGCCCAGGGATCCGGACAGTCACATGCAATCACAGGCAGTTGAGATAACACAGCCGGCCCCTTTCTCGCCCTCCGGTGTTTCACCGACCTCTTCTGTGGAATTTTGAGCATGGGCCTCGTCGAGGCACAGCTGCAGACAGCAAAGCTGGAACTTCCATCGGCAGCAGAGATGCAGCTTCCGGGAGGCTCTGTTTACGGGAGATTATTTTGAGCACGGGAACACGAGGAGTGCCCATTGCCTGACGTAAAGTTGAATCCTGAAATGCCCATGAATATCCAGTGCTCTTGTCGTTCTCCTAAAAAACCTACGTGGTGGATCCAGGCCGAGGGCTCTAGGGGCCCAGAGTCGTACCCAGTTTCGGCTGAGAGACGCCAGCTTCCCTTTCACAGCGCAGATGACAAGGTGATCACCCGGATGAGCCGAAGAGCATGGCTACACCCTTCGAGGAGAGGCAGCTGCAGTTGCAAAGGATGTCGTAGGTGCTTAGTACTTTATGTACCCTTGTACTCGGGTCTGGTGTGAGCGGTGGCGGCAGGGGTGTGGTGTTGGGCTCTGGGGTTGATTGCTGTTAGCTGTCGAAACCAGCAGTGAAGCCCTTCCTGCCCCGTGCGAGTGGGAGAGTCGAAAGGATGTCAGTTAAGAGGAGCCTGAACTACTGAACCATATATTTTGCCATATAGTAGTATGTTCCATTAAATGCTATCTTCGACCAACAGCCACCAACCAAAGCAAAGTAGGAGCCTCCAACGCCAGCAGCCGCGATGCCGTCTCCGGGAGGCTCATTCGTGCGGGTGCTCAAAAACGCTAAACCTGTCTCTCCTGCCTGGCATGTCACGAAAGCTGGCTCTTTGAAGCTTGCGGGAGTTGTCGTTCGCAAGCTTCCTCTCTAGTCTTCAGGTGGGTCAACAAGCGACCCCGGGCCGTAAGTGGTATAGAAAGCCAATTGGCTCACGGGCCGCGGGGTCACCCTTTCCTGTAAGATTGATGCTAGAAATCTTTAGTGTGCCCCCCCCCCACCATGTGCGTTAATTGATTTACTGGGAGGAGGGAAGGGGACCCCCCCCGGAGGAGGTTTCATATAGTTGATCTTGTCGCTGCAGATGGCTGGCATCAGACTGCAGGCTTAGAAATGTGGGTATCTTCGTGGCATAGTAAATTTTCGGGAATGGGCATTGTAAATTGCTTCCGACTTTGCTAGCTTTCGTAGCCCATATCTCAAGTCACAGTTTGGCTGACATCTCCAATAGACTTTAGCAGTAGCAGTCGGAGTGTCGCGTTCTCACTCGCCTGAATGTCGGATGTTTGTTAGCTTCTCACTGGCAAGAGAAAGCCCCGCCAAAAAACACGCATCTGACCAGGTAATGTCCCAGATGCATCGAAGGGCACGGAACCTTCGGAGGAGCAGCTGGGAGACGGGACGAAGGCATGAGAGAGACTTCAGACACGAGCTTGTGAAACTGCCATGTCGCAGACGTTGGCTTTCTGATTGCGCCATACGTGTTCCTGCAGTGTGGGCCATGGGCATGCATGGGCTGCATCTTATTGTATTTTCACTGCGTCATTCGACATTGGGCTGTGCTATGGCTGGCCGTCCTCAGCTACTGTAGGCTGTAGACTCTTAGTCCCGTGATCCTCCACACCGCCCACACCGAGCCGCCCACCCAGATACATGCACATGCACACACACATAAATATAGATCATATAAATAAATATATATATATATAGAAAGAGAGAGAGAGAGAGATACCTAGAAAGATAGACAGATGGATAAGTAGATAATAGATCGATAGATCGATAGGTGGCTCGACTGATAGATTGATAGATAGGTATAGATAGGTAGGTAGAGAGATAGGCAAATAGATAGACCTTTGTGTGTATATATAATTTTATATATATATATATATATGTATGTATGTATGTATGTATGTATGTATATAGTCAGGTAGATAGGTACAGAGGTAAAGACGTAGACAGGTAGAATATAACGGAAGGGAGAGTGAAGTTGGCAGTTTCCTTGCCAGAAGTCGTCCGGCCCGGTGCCGGACCGCGCGCCAGACGGCACCTCCACTTAATTTAGGATGTAGGGTTTAGGGTTTAGGGCAGGGGCGAGCGGGGTTGACTTGACCTTGCAAGAATTGCGGTTTGAGGGCGTGAGAAAGCAGCTTGGTTCAGGGATATCGGCAGACCTGCACTGTCGTAGCAAATGGAGGGCAAGTTGGGCAGCCCTTTAGCACACACCTTTATCAAACTGTGGTTCTCGTAGGTATAATTCCACGGAGCTGTGCTGAAATAGGGTCTGTCCTTCGCCTAATACCAAGGGCCTTTGAGCCAATCGGACGTATTTCCCAAAAAGCGGGTGCTGTGTTGTGTTGGGGGCGAGATGCGGGCTGTGCTGTTGCATTTCGGCTCGCATGCAGAACTCGTACCAGGCGGTCACGTCTCAGGCCTTGCTAGATGAGTGAATGTGAGTGATGCCTTCAGCCCGAACACGTCAACAGCTCCTGTACAGATCTGGGGCGCAGACGTAAGGCACAAGCCCTGATGCAAGGGCCTGTAGGAGACAGTCTCCAGCAACACCGGCACAAACCCTTAGTCTGGAAGCCCACATCACTTTCCATAGCACGAGCCGATGTAGACACGCGGCGAGCTGTGGGAGGTCGCCAACATGGCGTCCTCCGAACGCCGAAGCATGAAGGCCATCCAAGATTGCGGGTTAGGCTTTTTCTTTGAGAAAGAAGTGAAGTACTTGAGCCCTTCCTCAGGGCATGGCAAACACCAAAACTTTGATTGGGCCCTACTCTGTCGGCGGCACCATCGGCAAGGGCGGCTTTGGCTGCGCAACTCGGTCCGGCCATATGCCAACCCGCACTTCAGACATGCTTTTTTGGTTTCTGCAATGTTTGTGATGTTGATTGGTTGTTGGTTGTTGGCAGTCACTGGGTCCGACGTCCTGGCTTTTTACCCGTTACGGGATAGATTGCACGGCAAGCTGCCGACTTTGACTTGGGAGCCACCCTTGGAGCTCTGGCAAAGCGGGCATGGCTTTGCGAGACAGGCTGGGGAAGAAAAGAGGATAGAAGCAGGTGTGACTTCGATTTATGAGCCGAGCCGGTAGGGACTAGATTTCATGAAAGACAACTACGGTTTCGCTTTGCGGCACTTTGTCAGTCCAGGGGCCTTGGTGTGAGAGGCGCCTTGTTTGCCCAAACAGTGTTGTACACACACACACACACATGGGGTTCTTGCGTTCGGCGCGAGGCGCCCGCAGAATAGTCCATGCTCGCGTTGTGGCGGGTGCATAGTTTGCACTGATGTCGTATTGCTTACCTCCAGAATGCAAGAAGGTGGCCTCATTTTGGCTTCGAGATGTCTCAATCCCCCCAGTACCTCACCAGGAGATCGCATGAGACCACCCAAAGACCACCTACCCTTCGGAAATTCGCAGGCCACGCGTCGGAGAGCCCTTTTCGCAGGCAATACAGATGAGAGCTTCGCCTCCCGAGGCAATTCAGATGATGAAATGTACCGGAGGCAGGGAGCTGTAAGCTACAAGGCAGTCAAACTGGAAAACATACCATAAAGGGGTTTCTCCTTGCGAGTCAGCCGAAGCTCGGCCGTGCCAGCAGAAATCGGCATAGGGATCACGTACATAAGATACATTGAGGGGCGTGGCTTCGCCTTGTGACCCAAGCACACGCAACCCCAGCCAGTTCCAACCAAGACAGTCCCAAGCTGAGAGGAGTGTAACAAATCTAGTCAGTGGTCGTTCCACAACTGCAAGAAGGTACAGTAGCAGGAACGCAAACGACGCAGCTGAGTGGAATTTGCTTTTGCTTGAGATGAAAACAATAGGTTTGGTGTTTTGCTTTGGCAACCTCAAACCCGACGCCATTGCCCTGTCTCCCTTGCTGAGGTGTACAAGGCCATGGACCAGCAGAGGGCCCTGTTTGTGGCCATTAAGCAGGTGAGCTTGGGAGGCTTGCACAGCGGTGACATCAGCCAAATAGAGGCATCCTTGCATCAGATTGTTTTCGTTCGCGATCAGAGTTTGGTTTCAGACAAGCATCTTTGAGTACATGATAATACATGTTTCGGTTTAGACATGTGCTAGTTGTCTATGACTATCAGCGGCTTGTCCAGTCGGACACATGGGCATCTTACACCTGGCCTCTTGCAACGCTCGTCATCAGCAGGGTCGGAAAGAGGAATAGTTGTGGGTTCGGACCAGGTTTACTTACTTGTACGAGTTTGGATCTTGCGACAGAGGCCATAGTTTCCAATAGTGAGTTACACGGAGTAACATGCATCTTTTGCAGTTGTAAGTTTGTGTACATTACCAATAACACCACAGCATATGTTTGCACATGTCCAGTTTCTTTGGCATTCTGGACGCCCTCTCCCCCGCTGTACCCCGTGGCCTCTGCCTCCGGGCCGATGGAAATCTGTAAAATTTCCGTCATCTCCCGCAATCATCTTCACAAAACGCTGCACATACAAAGTCATGAGACTACTGCTCTCCAGACTGTGTAAGCCTGGTAAGCGAAGGGTCAGTTTGGACGAGACTGTACAAGAGACATGCAAAGAAAAAGTGTTGCCATTGCATGAGGTAGAGATTAACCTGCTGTCCAAGCTGAAGCACAAGAACATTGTGAAGTACATTGACTCCATCCGGACTGAGACCCACTTGAACATTGTCCTCGAGTTTGTGGAGGGTGGATCCATCGCCGCCATCATAAAGAAGTTCGGAGCTTTCCCAGAGTCTCTGTGCGCCATCTACACGCTGCAAATTCTGAAAGGCTTGAAGTTCTTGCATTCCCAAGGCGTTATTCACCGAGACATCAAAGGTGCAAATGTCCTCACGACAAAGACTGGGACCATCAAGTTGGCCGACTTTGGGGTGGCAACGAAACTAAGCGAGATCGATAGCTCAAAGCGACGCGTCGTCGGTACCCCCTACTGGATGGCACCGGAGACGGTTGAGATGAGCCCACCCACTCCTGCCAGCGACATTTGGAGTGTGGGGTCAACAGTGGTGGAGATGATCACAGAGAAGCCGCCGTATGCAGATTTGCCGCAGATGTCGGCTCTTTACCGCATTGTATCCGACAATCACCCGCCCCTGCCAGAGGGCTTTTCTGAAGCTCTCGACGCATTCCTGTTACGGTGCTACGAGAAGAACCCGTTGCACCGTGCTGGAGCTGCAACACTCCTGGAGGACCACTGGATTCAAGCAAACAAGAAACACACACTGGAGTTCACGCGCCAAATGCTCACCCCGAAGGTGACACAGAAGGAGTCGCCGCAGAGGAGGGTGGAGGATGAGGAGGAGGACAGTGGTGAGTCTGGAGCTGAGGAGATGGAAGCATTCACCACACTGATCCGGGACACGCTAGTGACGCAGCAGCGACCAGGCATGGAGGCTTTGGGACTTCCCAGCAGCGTGCATGACTCCCATGAGCTCGAGGTGCGAAGCCTGGACAAGGCTTCCAGCGAGAAGTCAAGTTCGCGATCCTCCAAGCAGGGCACGGTGAAGTATCCGATTGAAGAGGGAGCCGATGCAGGGACAAACCTCGACGAGTATCCATCCAGGAAGCTCTTGGGGTCCCTGCCGGAGGGGAGCATACCTGAAGCCTCCAAAGGTGAGGCGCAGGAGGCGGAAAGGGTTTTTTGAAGAGTGTCCCACACAGTTCCGTAATCCTCGGGCCAAAAAAACAGACCTTGCTGTTCCCCAAGAGTCTGCTCTCCACCACTTCAGGTCAACTCCGAGGAGCTGCGAGGTTATCATTTTGCTTTCCTGGATTACTACAAGGAGTACTGCGAAGCCAAGCCCTCCGTCCAGGCCCAGGACCTCCAGCTTGGGAATCCTGAAGTTCTCCTGAGTCTGCCGTTACAGGTAATCAAGCGATGCCGCATCCCGATGCTCAGCTCCCGACCGAAGCTAAACATTGCTAGGGGGTGCTTTGCCCTGCCTCTAGTTTTGGCCGCAGCACCTTCGGGTTTCTCACCTTCGAGAACGACTATCCAAATCAATGCATTATTAGCTCTAGCCAAACCTCGCGCAACTAGCGCCGTTCCGTTGATGCTGGGCCAACGCCGCGGCTCCTCGCAATACCAAAAGCCAAAGAGGGTGTAGACTGCGACAGTGCTGTCCTCGCCAGGCGGAGTCCGGATCCAAGCAGACCGACTCCCTGCGAAGGCGACCGAACCGACCTCCGAGCGGGCAGCTGCGGGCCAAGGACGTGATCCAAGACGACTCCAAGGACGGCTGAGGGCTGGGCCATATCTGTATGTGTGTCTATAATGTATATAATGTGTAGAACTGCATAATGTATATGTATGTACATACATACACACATGCATATTATATATATATGCACACACACACACACACACATGATCCCGGTTCTCGGTTCGCCGATTCCCCCACCATAATATTCCCCCCGCCCCCACGCCGAATCCCTGTGGCTGTGCGCACTTCTCCCTTTTGGGGGCTCCAAAACCGTCAACTGTCGCGAGAATCTCCTCCCAAACACACCCCATCCTTGTGACTGTGGACACTTTCCAACACAACTCCGACATGAGGGTATAAAAAATGCAACTGTCACGAGGATCGCGCTCCTGACCTGACAGGCCCTATTCCTGTGACAGCTGACCCAACGAAGGACGATGATGATGATGATGATGATGCCAGTCCCCCCAAGCAGACGCATACCCCGAACTACACATCAGCCCAAGCAGACCCCCGAACCACACCACACCGCAGGGGGAGGGCAGGCACCCCCAAGCAGACTCAAACCCCTAGCCAATGACGATGATGATAATGATGACGCTAAACACTCCAAGATGACCCAAACCGCGAACCACACTTCCCTGCAGAGGGGAGCCACTCCAGACCCAAACCTCGAACCACGCCACACCACAAGGGTCACAAGGGGGGGTGGGAGAACCACACCATAGGGGCCGACAGGCCAACCATTGGGCGGGAGGGGAGCGGCAGGTAGAGCCGGGATCACAAATAGGTATATTTTTCGTTCTGTGTGGGAAGGAGGGTTCCGGGAATTGTTCGTGAGTTCAGGTCGCACATAGTGACATAGTGTTCTCGACAAGACGCGTTGTTGCTGTGGCTGCGCATGACCATCTGTAGGATTTGTCGTTCTTGCAAAGTGACCCAGGAGAACCGGGAGCGGCAGCGGGCGGCAGCAGAGATCAAGAGCCTCCTTTCCAGCATCCGGCCTTTCGAGGACAGTTTCTAAATTTGCAGATGGAGATGGGTGGCTGTCAAGATTTCTGGTCTGAGGTGTAAACTGCAAAACTTGGAATCTTTGGACCTCAGTTCGGATGTCTCAAAATCCAGATGCCTGATGTTGAAAGTTGGGTTCGTGGCTTGCTGGCTTCCGCTACCCAAACGAAGCCTTCACGGGAGGAGTCGGGAGTTCTTGTTCGGGTGTGCAAGCGGCTCACGGAGCTGTTGCAGCAGGGCATGCAGCAGGCGGGCATCAGGGGGCATCAGGGCCAAGGGCAAGGCAGGAGTTTGTAGGAAAGAGGTTGCTCGAATGAGCTGTGTTCCCTCTTGGAGGGAAGCAGCAGCAAAGACAGCATCCAGCAGTTGATCATCGAGCATGGGGTGGTTCCCATCGTGGAAATGCTTCAAGTCACGGACCCGATGCTACTCCGGCAGGTCTTGAAAGTGGTGAACCAGATTGTTGCAGAATGGAATCATGACTTCCAGGAGCTCTTCAGCATGGTCGGACTGATCCCCGGCGTTATCAAGTTTGCTGGATCTGAGTTTGCCCGCGACTTGCGGGTAGAGGCTGGTACCTTCATCTCCCGGCTCTGCAACTCCGGGTCCAGCAGCCTCCAGATGCTGATAGCCTGCGGTGGACTGGAGGCCATTGTGGATCTCATCTCCTACGACTACTACCAGAATCGGGACTTGGTCTGGAATGCACTGGATGCCGTGAATACAGTCAAGAATAAGAAGAGCAGCCATAGTCGAGATCTCTGCCGGATCCTCGCGAAGCGTGGCCTTTGTGGGCACCTTGTCCTTTTGATCGACAACCTGGCCACAGACATCCAGGACCTCGGCGGAGCTGTATCAAAGTCTAGCATTATAATCGCTCTCATGCTGTTTCTATCGTCTTTGTGCTTCCAGGAAAAGGCAGCTCACTATTTGCAGGAGGTTATCAGAATCCTTGGCTTTTTTGCCAAGACCGGAGATTCTGTGGTCAAGGCCTACATGGCCAAAGCGCCCGTGCTGGAGGGGCTTATTGCTTCGCTTGAGTACTTGCCGCCCCCTTTGGCAGCTGAAGTCTGTAGGATTTTCAAGCACCTTTCTCAAGAGCCGTCCGTCCTCAACATGATGGAGAACGTTGGGCTCGTCCCTGTTCTGGTTTACCACATGAAGTTGCACAGCGTCTTCGAGAAGGGGACTTGGGACGGCACGGAGAAGGACCTCGAGAACGAGAAAGCCCAAGATGCCTGTAGCCAGTGCTTGCTGGCACTCTCGAACCTTTGCAAACTCTCTCGCCCTCGGCAAGAGCAGGCCACCTTAGCGGGTGCCATTCCAAAGCTGCAAGCTTTGGTTGAAAGAGGTCATCCTTTGCAGGAGTACGCTTTTGTGATGATCTGTGACATGGCTTGTGCTTCTTTGGCCACACGGAAGTCCTTGTGGACAGAGGACGGTGGGCCTTTCCTTGTTCGAAGCCTGGCCGTGCCTGAGACGCAGGTCCCGGCACTTGAGGCCTTAGTTGGTTGGTTTGGTGTGAAGGAGCACAAGGCAAACTGGTGCGAGCGCCTGGAGGGCAAGCTGCTAAAGGGCCCCGACTTCCTCATGCGCCTGTTTGCACTGCCTCCCGGCCAAACTTGGGGAGCCCGGAGTCAACCACTTAAAGACTTAAAGTCTTCGTTTGTTTGGGGCCGTGATCGCGAGAATTTTGCAGGTTCCGGAGTGAGGACAAGGATGTATTCCTGAAGATCTTGGACCCCTTGGTGAAGTTGGTGAGGATCTCTTCAGAGACCAACGCTGCGCTGGCGAATAGCGACCAATTTCTGGCCGAGCTCCTCCGGAGGTTCAGACTTAGGGCTTGTTTCTCGGATCATTTAGGGTACTGCCATGTTTGGTTCACCCCTGCAGGTTAGAGGGCGAAGGCAACAGCGACAGTCCCGATGCGAGCAGAGTGGCCAGCAGCGCGCGGTTCAGCTCTGAGGATTTCTTCGGCAACCCTGCACTGGGGAGAGCTGCTCTCGATGAGACGAGCCTCAACGGCGTGCGCCGACTTGTCTCCGCACAGCCCGGTGCTCTCGCCGACAATTCTGTGCGAGCACGGCAAACTCTCCTGCGGCTGCTCTTACAGCTTTGTCAGCCCTTGAGCAAGCCACAACTGGCCGCGCTGGTGCAGCGCTTCCGCCTGAAATCCCACTTGCAGCACGTTCTGGCAGAGGAGCGGCGCAAACAGCGCGTGATTCTCAGCGCCATCGCGTCGCAGCTTCTGGCAATGTTCATGGAAGCCTCCCCAGGAGATCTGGACATCAACCCGAACGTAGTGTAGCCGTGTAGCCTGCAGAGCTCAAAGTGGCCTGCATGAGAAACAGCCAGCGTTCGCGGTCAAATTGTTGATGTCTTTGCGATGCCACTCGGCTGCCACTCTTGAATACTAACCAGCCTTGAACGAATGCCAGTCCAGGGATCAGAACTAGGATAGTTCGGCCGAGATTTGAGTATGCATGCACCGGAGAAGCTACAGAGATGCTATCTGTCATTGCCTTGACTGGATTCAGAGGAGTACCTGAAAGCCCCACGTTCCCACTTCCACCAGATCCTCGCACATTTCTTCGACCTTGGAGCTCCTGAATAGCTTAGACCACCAGGCAGCGCTGTACAAGCTGCATCCCCGAGCCGTGCCTAGCTGAGGACCGGACGCTGTACCGACGGAGGAAAAAGCCGGAGAGCCGCTCCTGCGGCAGCCAAACATCTACAATAAGCCTGCCTACTTGAGTGCACACACACACACTTGTGCATCGGGTACTTGGGCCGAGAGGCTGACCTTCTGGTGCTTTGTGGATCGATTTTTTCGGCGGGCTTGCCTCCCATCGCTTGTTTCAGTCAGTTTCGGTATTATCTCTGGGCTCCAGAACGCGTTCCTTCAGCTCCGTTGTGCTGTCCTCAGGGGCCCTGGCGACGTTCACATTGACATCGGGGAATCAATGCCGACGGCTTCGCAAGATCGGGAGCTGTATGCTTCTTGCCCAGCAACAGGGAACCCGACACACCGAACGCTTCTACACTTTGATGTTCCGCATGTTCCGTCACGGTTTCTGGGCCACGCCTCGAACTGCTGGAAAGTGATTGGCTCGCGGATACCTAGCAAACTGAAGATACAAGAATGAAGATGTCATAAAGGAGCTTCATATAGATTCATCCTTAACAATCGTGCGCCCTGGACCCTGAATCTGTCTCCAAGGGCATGCATTCTTGTTCGTGCGATGGGTGGTTCTGTTTTGGACAGCTTGTGGTAGCCAACAGCTCAGCGACTGCAGGGGCGCGTGCGTGATGTTGCATGGTGTGTCCCATGGCCCTGGTCAAGCTCATGGACAAAAATGCGCAAAAATCTCAGGATTTGCTGAAGGTGGAGCCCGACGCAACGGAAGATGTTCTCAGTGCCTGGGATGCCACGAGACCTGCGGAAAGGAGCGTGATAGGCAGAGCTCCCACGGCAGAAGCTGCAAGGAGCATGTGGGGCAGATGCAAGTGACGGTATCGAAATCACAAAGATGGCATGCAGACATGGCGCGTGCTATGCTATTTTGTCACGGTCCGACTAGATGGACCAAGAAAGATGCAGAATATGCATGGGTGTCCTTCAAGGAGAGCTGTTGTTGTGTGTTGTTCTTCCAGAATGTCAGGGGGTGCCTACAAACGCCGGGCACTGGAATTGCATCCAGACAAAGGCGGCAACGAGGAGGAGTTCAAAGCGATGTGCCTGGTTTGCACCTGAAGTCCATTTGTTCTGAGGGGAGATTCGGACGGAGATTTGTCCGGACAAGTAAATGCAACTTCAGATTTCACCACGTTCCCTAGGCCAGTTAATCTCAGCTGTGGCTAAGCGGCGAGTACACTCACATTGTTAGTCTGGAGCTCTTGCTCCCCAGGACCCCCATATCCGCAGCTTCTGAGCCTCCCACCTGTCCGAGGAAAGGTGCCTACGATGCGAGGGGCTCGGTTGTGCTCAGGTGATTAGCAGTTCGCTCCTGTCACAAGACAGCTGCAGAAAATGGCACCAGCAAACAAACATGCGGTCGAGTGTTCAGGTTCTCACTGACCCGGAGAAGAGGACAGTCTACGATCAGCATGGGAAGGCTCGTGAGGGATCGAAGCATACAGACGGCTTGCAGCAAAGGGTCCCATCTAGCAGCATGGTATTGAAGAAGGGCCTCCGAACTTTAGATGCTGACTTCTTTGCTGCATGAGATGGGTGCTTGATATCATTGGTATCAGGAAGGCCTGCGACAGCTGGAGATGGCCAGGCAGATGGAAGCAAATGGGCAGCTCGTCGGAAAGTGAGAACCACGGTGTCCGAAACCCCCACGCACCTTCTGGATCCTGAATCTGGGCAATTTGACACCTTCGTCCATTGACAGGAGAGTCAAGGAGTCATGGCGTTCTAGTCCGAAGCTTTGCAGAAAGCCACACTCGAGTTTCACGCTTATTCGTCTTCCTGGACTCGGCACACTGTCAAAGTGCTCTCTAGAGTGTAGACTTGATTCCTATTGAAGCCGTAAGGATTTGGCAGATCAGAAGTCGTTGGCTGAGGTTTTTCTCGCCGATTCAGTGGCTCCTGAGCCTGTCGCCAGGCAAACGACCCGAGGCCAAACAAGCAGGGCTGAGCTTAGGAGGCTCGCGTTGTTGGGTTAAGTTGGCAAGTCATGAGAATCACGACCCGGCATACCCGAGCCCGCTTCGGGCGCCACATATCATTTGCCGCAGCCAGTCAGGCCTGCAGGCCAGGTTTTTGCTTTCGGTGGTTGCTGGACGCTGTGCCACTGAGGATTGTATTGTTAAGAAGCTCTTTGTTCAGCTATTCAATCTTAAGGGTGTCGCGCACCCTGGAGCTCACGGAGCTGTTGAGACTCAGGACAGGTTCTGGCACTGCTGGTCGTGCTGGTGGCGCACTTTGGTCCTCCATTATGGTAAACTTAAACTCGTAATGAAGTTTATGGGGTTGCAACACCGTGTTCCAGATTATAGGGGGGGAAGCTCGGAGGTTGCTTTTGTAAACGGCTGGGTACGCTGTGGCATCCTTACCTGCCCAGGATGTTCTTCATGCTGCCCTTCGTGCTCACTACATTGAAGTGGGACGGAACTGCCGGATTTCACTGGGCCATTGTCCTGATCCCTGTGTGGCATCTTACCTCAACAGCTTACGTCGGTTTCATTCAACGAAGGTGTCAACACAATCCGGTGAGTGCAGCAGACTCTTGTTTGCTGACAGGCTTCTTCAGTTGCCCATCTGGTGGATGGCTCAGCATGTCATGCAGTCGAGTTCCCAGCCGACACGTTCCCAAAAATCAGATTCGGAGACTTGGGGTTCCTATGGTGGGACATACAAGATTTGCAAAATAGGATGCGGGGAAGCGGGAAAGCTAAGTTTCCTTCAACAGTGCGTGGTGCCGGAGCCACCACAGGGTGACGAGGAGGCACGCCGCATCCTGCCTACTTCAGCACTCCCTTTTTCCAGCATGTTACATGGCATGCTTGTCTTTGCAGCCCAGGGCTCTGTGATTTGCGGTAGCATGAGCTTTTCTGTTCATTGGGCAGGAATGGGGCGAGGACGAGCGCACAAAGTTCACGCAGCAGAAGAAGGTACCACTAGCACACGGGGGAAGCCGCTGAACGAACGGGGTTGATTTGTTGACCCCAAACTCCAAATATTAAGTCTACTAGCCCATGGAGTTTCAGATTCGCACATCGCCCCGACACGGCCTGGGTTTGTTGTTGGTTTGCACCATACCATCACCGTCCTGTACAGCATAGTTTCGGCACTTGTGGTTCAATCCGTCTTTCTCACCAAAATACGCACGTTGTAGATTGCAGTCCGATCTGTTTGTTCAAGCCCTTGTTGGGCCTCCCGCCTCGGTATGTACTTGTCCTTGCATCCTTCTTCGATTGCCTTTCCTGATGTCTGACACCACCGAGTAGCTGTCAACGGACGGATCCCCGTCCACAGGCTGATCTGCATGCTGGGGATTTCTGTCGAAACTAACCTTCTCAGGTAGGGATCGCCAAGATTCAAGCTAGGTTTCATTTGTTACTATGTCTGGGATTTGGTCCGGAGCCCGAGTGTGTGACTTCAATCAGACTGCTTCGAGCTTGTCTTGCCCGAAAGCCCCATTGCTGTGCAGGAGCACCACTGGCTCCGCTTCGAAGGCTTCGTCTTTTCGGGGCTGCTGCTCCTCTTCCAGCTCTTGCTGCTGCTGCGCTTGGAGGCCAGCCTGACCTGACACAAACCCTGAGAGAAAGAGAGCGCCACGGGATTCCGTCTTCAGGGTACTGTAGCCGAGTGCGGCAGGGGAACTGGCCGAGGTCTAAACAAAGGGTACTGTAACTCGACCGACATGTACCAGATCAGGAGTTGCGCGAGACCTTCGCAGTAATGGATGGGCGAACGATTCAGGGCTCGGGAGCTGTGTTGCTGCAATGTCAGTATCTGTTTTGTCCTGTCAGTCATAAGTATCATTCTGCCAGGACGACATCTCCGTTTCTTGGTTTGTAGTGCAGCTTGGACTCAATCGAAATTCGGGCGCAGGCCGCACGAGACAGTTGCTACAGACGCGGTTTGCACTGTTAAGCTAACATGATGGCGACTGTTGTTCTTTCCTCTAACCTGGATCTTGATTATTGGATGACTAAGGATGTTGCCCTGGATCCTCCTGGAGGTTGGCTGTCGCGGATCTGTTTGGCTTCTTAGGGTCTTTGAACGGCTTCCTTTCTGTTGCAGGCTTCTGGCGATCTCAAAACATGACAGGTGTGGTGGGTGGTGCTCAAGGTCATGGTTGCTCCAGTCCAGTGGACAAGGGCTGATGCCAGGGCTGCAGCAGAGGCGCTTGTGAACGCTGGCACTGCACCCCCTCTGCAGTAACTCAGAAAAGTCCAGCCCATGGCAGTTTCCGAGCCACGTAGAACGGGACGGTGCGCACAAAGGTATGGAAGTCATTGAAGTTCTGGTGCTTCCTGCTCAGTGGCTAGGTTGCACCGGCATGGACCTTATGTTCAGCTGCAGGGCTAGGCCAGATGCATGTATGCCAGAGAACTGCTGGCTTATCGATGTGTCCCGGTTGTAAAGACGACTGATGTGTTTCACTGCCAGAGGGGCTTAGTCTGGATTCATGAGCAGCCGAGGCTTTGTGCAACTGGGTGCGATGCGGCTCGTCGCCGCCTCCTTAGCACATCCTCCCCATTTCAAGGACAGGAAGGTAACACAGTGCAAATTGCGGTGTGAGAACTGGCACAGTCGAGCAACGGAAAATGTTTCAAGTGGCACTTCCAGATCCGCATTCACAACATGTCAACACGTAAACTTCGCAGATCGTGGAGAAACTCCAACTACCCTTCTGCATGCTATGTCCAATCGAGGCAGTCCTACTGCTTGCAGAGTGCGCTGATTCTGGTAGCACGTCGTGGCAGCTTGGCTCATGGTGTATGACCTGCGAGACTACATGCGACTAAACTCGAGAAACCCGCAGAGCAGACAAGCAAAGAGAAGCACCAACATCTCTTCGAGCGGCAGTCATGATTGCTTAACACGAGCTGTGGCAGTCAGTATTCTCCAGACTGCAGCAGAAGGGTTCTGGTTCAAGGGGTGTGGGGTCCGGGGTCAGAGAGTAAACGCGAAATCATCCACAGGACGGCCTGCAAGCTCCCCCATCAGGTTTCAATCTGTAAAGCACTCTCGCCGAGCAACCTCCTTGAACCCAGTGTCAGGTGGATCGCCCCTGTGCCCCTGTACGTTGCTGCTGCCTTCAGCATCATCAAAGCAGCAGTGGAACCTTGGCTCACCCTTGTCCGTCCTGGAGTCTGCGGTCTGGGGCTAGAGTCCAAGAGAAACTGCGAGGTAGCTACGGGCATCGCTTTGCATGGCAATCGTTGCTGATCAGTTGCGGCACTGTCACTGCTACTGGAGTGGTTGGTGTTGGTGCGGCAGCGGCAGTTGTGGCTACTGTTGCTGTTGGTGTTGTGTTTGCTGAAGTTGTCGCGTGGTCGTCAAAGTGCTGGGGGCAGATCACTTCAACGCCATGTGAAGACATGAGCCGGGTGAGCGGAGCCTGTCAAATCCTACACGGGGTGCTGGGCCCCCTGTGGCGATTGTAGTGAGCGTGGCTCAAGTTCATTTACGCATACCAGGGCTTCATGGAATTGCTGAGGTTTTGGGTTGCTTGTTATTAACTGTTATTATTAGTTCGGATTTCGACCTGGGAGTTTGCTTCCCGAAGTCTTGGCCCGACCCTCGCCAGGCCTGGTAGTTCCGAGTCGAAAGCGAGTTTAAGGCGGCCCCCCCCCCCGAAGCCATCGTCTCAAGAAGGAAAATCTGCCAGGAGAGAGCCCAACCGTGTGCCTGAGCAGATGCCCTGATTCCGAAGCCCTTGAGTGCTACAGGTAAGCACTCCAGATCTATCTATTTGTGTCTATAGTTATGCTTATGTCCTCCAGATGACATACATACTTCTTCATGCTCTTCCCAGTGTTATGCACATTCATACTTCCATGCTTGTTCGAAAGTATGTGCATGTGTTTAGAACCTTCGATTCGTCATTATCATTATGTGTCCAGAGCCAAGGACGCTTGCGGCTCATCGCCACAACCGAACTCAGGTGACCCTGGGCGTTGGGTTGCGGGTTGGCCATGACATGGGGTTTGGGAATGTTGAAGCAAGAGTCAGCACTTAGATTCAATGATCCTCGCTTAACAGCTACATGTAGTGGCGCCTGGTAACTTAGTACACCATTGCCGGTGAGTGCTGGTGTGTATGATGGATTTTTGTCGTTCGTTGGCACGATGAGCCAACAATTGCGAGGTGGTTCTTTTGTCTGCATTAGTTCGATTTTGTAGATTTCTTATTTGGTCAAAGGATGGACTTGCGGTGGCCGTGAAAGCCCAGCGTTTATCATAGGAAACCTTACGGTGGGGTAAGGGGGAGAGGGTTTGGAATGCCTAATTAGACCCGCATCAGCTCCTTATTTGGTGTATCAAGGCCCTCCCTCCTCGTGCCCCCTATAAGGGTCCTTATGAATTTATGGGAGCTACTCGGGGTTGCAACACGGTTGCGGGTTGGTTTTCAGACTGCCACTTTCGTGAACCATCTTTGGCTTCACGAGCTTTGAAGCTTGCAGACTTGCTTGAGGGCGCGACAGATCCCTGCGGAAATCAGCTAGGGAGGGAAGGAGCTTGTCTTTTTTGACAGGTCCCGCCATGGTAGCCACCAGCCTGAGCGTGGCTGCATGGTTGACTATGGTACTCCTGGCCGTCGGCAAGCTTGATGGACGCTCGAAAGCAAGAGACGGCAACAGGTCACTACTCATAGGCTCGTAGGCGTGCCTGAGTTTGAGGCGGCAACTATTCTGCTGGATTGGTGTTCTCGCCGATCTTTGCCGTCTTTGGTCTGGCCACCAAGCAGCATACAACACCAGCCTAAAAGGCTTATGAGCCTCGAGTCATCGCGAAAGCTCAGGCGACGTGCTGCTTTTGCAGTGTCGTGGGATGGTGCCCGCGTGATCAGTTGGAAAACGTGGCCAAACAGGCGGGTGAGACCATTGGTCGTTCTGCAGACACAGAATAAAGCGAAACCGATGCTGGGTGCTAGAACCTCGGAGCCAGATGACATTAAGCCGACAGCAGCTCAGCAACACCGGCATCATTCGGCTGTGCTTGTCCGGTGCTTCCGCGCGAACGCACCATGCATAATCAAACTAGTGCCTCCGCGCGGGAGCACGAGAGCTCAGACTGTGTAGATAGGCTAGAAGTAGGCGTGTACAGGCGACGGACCTTTGTTGCACGCCCTTCATAGGGCGTGCAACTGTAATTTAATTATTCGGTCGTTATTTCCATGGGTGGCCCTAAGATATGCCGACTCACAACGTGAGCGGTTTCAGCGTGCTGAGTATCTTGTCGACGGAGCAAAGCTGTGTAAAGTTGTTGCCTTCGTACTTGATTCCCCGACCTGGTTCAAGTCTGAGCACGCACCACTCCTTAGATGCCGCCCTTGGTGATGAGGCTACATTGCCATGTCTGACGGCCTTTGCGAAGCAGGGCGGTTCGACTCGTGCGGTGCCTCATGAAAACAGTGCACGACAGAAATCAGCTGGGATTGTGTTCTTCCGTTGCAGCTAAGTCGACATGTTAACTATCATGTCTCGTGGTCTGTCTGGGAAGTGCCTGGATGCTCAGCACATCTAGGCTTGGGGAGGAACCGACCTCGTTCTTTCAACACCATGGCCCCAAGCACCATGATGTCGGCGGCAGCCCTGGCGGCCTGCGCGGCCCCAGCAATGGCCTTCGTGCCAGCCGGTCAGAGCCTGCGGGGTTCTCCAGGAAACGAGCCTGCAAGCATGGTTCAGGCCAGCTCTCGCTCGAGCTCTTATGCCTCCACAGGCCTTGCCGCGGCGACTGTGGCTGTGGCCGGTGCCACGGCTCTGTCCAGGCCAATCCAGCGTCGTGTTGAGCGAAAGGTCGTCGGAGTTTGCTTGCCTTTGACTGACAAGTTTGACCCGCTGAACCTTGGCAGCACGGATGCAAAGATGGAGCGATACACTGCCGTTGAGATTAAGCACGGCAGGGTCGCTATGATTGCCGTTGTTGGCTACATAATGCCGGAGATCTTTCGCTTCCCAGGATGCGAAGACTTCAAGCACGGCTTAGGCGCGCTGGAGAGCATCCCCGTTGAGGGCTGGGTGCAGCTCTTTGCTTTGGTGGGTGCTCACGAGGTCCTCGTGAAGCCTCGTGAGGGAGGCCTCGGTAGCTTCGACTTTGGCTTGGGCACGGAGCTCTTGGATGGCATCGACGACGAGGAGCTGGAGCGTAAGCAGACCTCCGAGCGCAACAACGGGCGCCTGGCGATGGTTGCTATCCTTGGCCTCATGTGGCAAGATGGGACTTTCGGCGAGCCGCCGCTGAGCTACATGAACAGGTACGGCTTCTGGGGTGAGCCGGTACAGTACATCGTTTCGCACATTGCGAATTGCCAGTCCTACAGCGGCAGTTATGTGGACAATGGAGGCTTGTGCGCCCTTCCTCGGGGCCGAACCAGCATGCAGGCCGTTCAGAAACTCTCCGAGGGTGTCTGGGTTGAGAACGAGACCTACCCGAAGGAAATGGAGATGTCTCCTTCCGTGCCCTTCCTCAGGTATCCGCAGGTTCTCAAAGGTTGGGTCGGGGGGGAGAAGGGTTTCGATCCTCTCGGGGTGACGGATGCGCTGCCAGTCTACTGGGTGCGAGAGGCAGAGCTCAAGCATGGGCGTGTCTGTATGCTCGCCACGGTCGGATGGATTGCCACCGACCTCGGTGCAAGATTCCCAGGCGAGAAGTTCCAGAGCGTCGCCAACAGCGTCGAGGCCCACGACAAGATGGTGGAGGCCGGCTACATGCTGCCTTTCCTGGGTGCCGTCGGCATCTTCGAGCTCTTCTCCCTGTGGCTCTTCTTCCAGTCCTGGCCCATTGGGGATGGCATCAACCGCGAGGCCGGGGACTACTGGCTCGGCAAGCAGTTCCTGCCCTTCGGAGACGTTAGTGATTTTTTAAGACATGCTGACAGATTGTATCTGTTTTTATTGTTGGTCATGAAAATATCCTTCGGAGTGGCAAGTCTTGGAACCTCAGAAACAAGGTAAGTCAATTAATTCTGTGAGTTGTTTGAAAGAGATAGTGAGAGAGGTACGTGTGAGTTTGGTGAGATCGACTTGGGGTTGTGAGTTTCTTGTGAGCGGTAGGTGTGGTGTTTCTGTGAGCTTTGATGTGAGACGATTTGAACGGAGTTTGTGGAGCTGTGAGTTTCTTGTGAGCGTGGCAGAAACTCAGAGAATTCTGTGAGCGGGCCCCGCTCTTATCCAACCCGCTCAAGGCCCTTATCAGTTTCGATGTTGAACGAAGCCACGGCTCCAAGTTCAGAAGCCAAGGCCTAAGGAGCCCGAAAAGGAGAAGGACATGCGCCTGAAGGAACTGGAGAACGGGCGCCTTGCCATGTTTGCCTTCAGTGGCATTGTCACCCAGGCCGTCATTACCGGCAAGCCTTGGCCTTTCGTGTGAGGTTACTACGTACTTTTTCAACCCGTCGGAGGGCGAAAGCAGCAATAGGATGCCTAGGTCTTAGGGCGGATGCAGTGGCGCCTGCCACGCCACTGACTTCGTGAAGAAAATGCGCGCTGCACCGGCAACAACTCCCCCAAGCATTAAGCATGCAGTGCGAAGGCCGAGGGTCCGCCTCAGTGTCGGAGGTGCGCCAAAGTATTTTTCGCAACACTGGTTGCACTCTGATTGGATCCAAGGTCCATGCCCTCGCGAGGCTCAAAGTCTCGTGCCAGCCTCGGACGGTTCCTCCGTGGAGCCATTGACATGTCAATGCCGCCACGCATGCTTGACAATCGCAGACTAGAGACAGATTTGCAGCATCGACTGCCTGACATGAAACTCTTCCTGCTCGAGCCACGAAGTCTTCTAGGATTCTAGGGAATGCTGAGACAGTCAAAGACAGTCAAAGAGTTCAGAGACATCCAAGGAGCCGCCCGAGTGCAGAGCCTATCCTCCTGGCAGCCATCAAGTCCCACGGCTCAACCCTTTTTGAGGAAAGGACAAGGATGTAATGCAAGATGTGTTTGCTTCATTATGCCGGTTCACAAAGACTTGCTCAGTTGTCCTACAATCTACAATGAATCGAACCTCTACTCGTGACCTGTTGACATCTGCCAAACTGTTGCGGTACCTCCTTCCTTCATGTTCTCTGTGCAACAGCTTGCTTCGTGGAGGGCGGCAAAGTTCCAGCTTGAGCCTGAAATCAGTGCCATCCCACCGTGCCACAGCGGTTAACAACGGCTGTCGTTCTTGGTGCGATGGCTGCCCCGGGAACACATGGGTCCTTTCCGACGGAACACCTGCAGGCAGGCCAATGGCCTTTGGAGGTATGGCAGGCTTGCAGCCTCCAGGCCAGGTGCAGACACACCCATTCGAACAGGGAGCCGGCAAGATCTCGCTTTACCACCTGCACTGTGTCTGAACTTTGGAGCCGAACCAATTCGAACAAGTCTCGTCAGAACAATCAAGGCAAAGATGTGCACATCGGAATGCTTTCCGTCAGCACCGCTAGCAGCAGGAAACAGATCTCTTCTTCCAACCAGTACGTACCGTCAAACGGTTTTGGAATTCGGTCCACGTGTGTCGAGCGAGAGAGAGAGAGAGAGAGNNGAGAGAGGGGGAGAGAGCGAGAGAGAGGGCTGCACCCGCGAAACGGGTGGGGTAGGCCTTCGGGCCAGGGGAGGTCCTCCTCCCCTCCCCATACCCCAAGCAAGCAAGCAAGCAAGCAAGCTGTACCGAGGCGTGAGCGCAGGCCAAACCCTCAGCTTCGGACAGACCCGCTTAGACTTGATTTCGGTTTCCCGGATAAACATGGGCGAACAAGGTGGCGAGCTGCAAAGACAAAGCCGTCCGGCTAAGGTCCCTACGCAACCGGGAGGAGGTGTTGGACTGGCTTAGGGACTCTGCAAAGAAGCGCAGGCGAGGCACCGTTTGAGCACACCACGGCTTCAGAGCAAGGTTTGACGATGTTTGACAGTTGACAAAAGATGACAAATGTATCACAAGATACTACAACATGCGAGAACATACTGAGACATACTGTAGTGGATTATGGCTTGCCATATTATGATATATTCTGACTTATGATGACCTTCACATACTGCAGTATGCCATCGCAAACTATCAGCCTACAAGCAGGTTGGGCTTTGGCGAGTTGGACTTTGCCCAGCAGACATTGGCGGATCAGGCGGGCCGCCAGTCGCCGCGAGCTGTCATAGACTGCATACGAAGGTTTGCTGAGAATGATTATGGGTGTGGCACGAGATCAGGGACACGAAGGGCATGATTTTCTCCGACAGTAAGGAGAAAGGAAAATGCAGCGTCTTTTGGCGAGCTGCTTTTGCAGCATAATTACATTCGATATTTACAGTCTCACCCGAATCGACTGGTGGCCGCTAACTTGGTTGCTTCGACTGCCACGAGTAGCTTTCGTTTTCTCGACGACACCACTACTTCTACAAAGGTCATGCCAGATGGAGTCTTCAGACCCCGGGAACAGTGGTCTGTAGGGAAGTGTGGAGCTAGGATGGAGGCGGGAACCCACCTGCTCATGCATAAATGGTTCTTGTAGACCCTGCGCATCACCACATCTACCAGAACTCGGTGCATTGGCTTTCAATGTCAAGCGTTTGAGTCCGATTGCTGCACCTATTCATCCGAAGGTGTACATGTGTGTATATATATACACATATAAAAGCAAGGCCTGTCCACCAACGCATCTTCTGGAATTGTCCTCCTTGGTGGCATAGGGTTGTTGCCCCCTCTTGGACCTGGCAACGGCTATATGGTCTTGACTCTGTTGCATCTTCCAGGCTCGACTCATGGCTTCGACAGCCCTTTTCGTGGCCTCAATGGGTGCGACACTTCTCGCAATGGCCTTGGCGCACGGCTTTAGAGAGCTTGACTCAATCAACAACTACAGAGCCAGCGCCACGACCTTCAGCACCACCACCACGACGACGACGACCACTACTAGTACCACTACATGTACAGCAACAGCTGCTACTACTACTCCTGCTCCTGGTCCTGCTCCTCTTCACCTCCTCCTCCTCCTCGTCTTCCTCC